ACCCAACCCAACCCCACTTCACTTCATCACTTCATCACTTCACCTCTACCGAAAATATCACATTCCATTCCATCCCATTACATTCGAATCAAATCAACATCATATCATTCATCTACCTACCTAACTACCTACCGACTACCTAGCAGTTTCATATATGCCACCTGCTACCTACCCCCTATTTTGCACAACCCATCCTCCACTCACACCCACCCCCAACCCCACAACCACAATCTTAAACACCATAGAAAATAAGTAGGTAAAGGGGTATCTACATAAATAACATTACTCATTCATGTAGACAATCCTTAAGTTTCAATAACCCTATCCCAGACGCCATCCAATGCAAGGAAGTAACCCACCCAAAAAGAAGAGAAGAAGAAATTATACGTTCGGAAAAAATAAGAACATACTAAGCTAAGCGAGTGTATGTAAAAGTGTCGTGCTGTGCTATGCCTCGTGTTTATGTCGTTTCGCTTCTCCGCCATCACTACTCCCATCCATATCCGGCGTCTTCCTCTTTCCCTGTCCCGCTCTTTCACCCGAATCCTCTCTTAAAAAGCTAGGACCTGTCCCCACTACTGGTGTAGCGAAGTTTAAAGGACTGGGTAGCGTATTGTTATCACTTCCTCTAAAGTTCCATTCTGGGTAGAAAGAGCTCGGACTGGGTAAGAACTCGTTGGTCATAAAACGGCTCGGGAGCGCCGAGACGGGAGTATCAATCATGTTGCTGGTATTGGAAGTGGCTTGTGAAGGCTGGCTTTGACTGGGATGATGGGGGCGAGCAAATGGATTTGGTGGGCCGGATGCGCCTGCTGAAAGAAGAGCGGAAGCAGATGGTGAAGGTGGTGGTAAGACCACGCCAGAAGAATGAGATTCTCCGCCTAGGCCGTTGCGGTGTGGATTATTTCCTGCTACATTGGTTGAAGAGCGTGGACTCGAGTTGGAATCGGCAGTAGCACTTCCGCCGTCTGAATCTCCCTCTGGTATTTGGACTTTCAGCACTGGACGCTTACCACCTCCAAGCGATGCTGAATTTGTTCTCGATGGAGGAGCAAACTCGGTGTTGGAAGAATGGGAAGCGCGGTTTTTATGCGTATTGGCACGGACAGGCTGTTTGGGCGGGGGAGAATTATTCGACTTGAGACGAGAAACAGCTCCCACATCCACAGACTGTGACCGATTTGAAGTAGGTGCTTCACCCTGTGTAGGTTCCACATTCGACGTTGAAGATGCCCAATGTTGAGAAAGAATAGACCGTGATTCGTCAATAGGCGTGAAAATGCTCCGAGATTTAACAGACATGCGTTTCGGCTCAAGCATCTGTTGAACAGGAGCTTGTTGATGTTGCTCGGGTTCCTGCTGTTGTGGTGGCGGAGGTTGATGTATTTGAGGCGGAGATTGCTGCTGTGGGACCTGTTGTGGTTGAGGTAACGGTGGTGACGGCTCTGGACGCGAAGATGGTCTTTCTTGTGGGAAGTTTGGTGGCATCGAAGCACGGCGCTGTTCTTCCGCGTACATCTGTTGTACCTGCTGTGGATGGGGGTGCTGTTGCTGTTGCGGAGGTCCATAATTGGGATATTGCGGTGGAGGGCCTTGCTGTGGAACACCTTGTGGGCCATGCATCGGGGGTCCCTGCATATGCTGCGGGAGGCCGTGATGCGCGTGATGTGGAGGTCCATTGTTCGGGTTGTAGATGGCTGGATTTGGCATGTAGGCATAGCCGTTAGGAGGCTGCGACTGAACATGCTGTTGAGGGACCAGAGAACTTTGTCTGCGAGGGGCGTTTCGTGAAGAGGGACGGGATCCAGGATGCGGTTGAGGAGTATGCTGGCGTTGTTGGGGGTGATGCGGGAACGCGCCATTTGGGATTGGGGGCGAGGATGAAGGAGTTGCTTGTCTCATATGTTGTGGTGGTTGGAATACAGGCTGTTGGAATTGAGGGGGCATCATTTGAGGCTCGACGGATCCGTGGTGGGAAGGAATAGATCCATCATCGTCGTCATCATCGTCCATATCCCTTCCACCCTTTCCATTGAAATCAGCTGGACCCTTGTGTTCGTTGGCGCCTCCATACTATAGAAATGTTAGCTGAGGCATATTTGATTGCGTGCGCAAACATACGTAATTGTATCTGGTGAGAATTTCGCCAATGTCACTACTCGAGTACTCGTATAGTTTCTTGTTGTTACCAAAGATTATGACTGCGACATCGACGGAGCAGAGGACGGAAAGCTCATGCGCCTTTTTGAAAAGACCGCCTTTGCGCTTGAGAAATGTGCTATTGATAACAGTCGATTAGCCGTTGTCCAGATGCGCGCGATTTGCTGAACTTGGATAGGAAAAAACATACACTGAACGATTTCGGTCATCTTTGATGGCCTTGATTTCAATCTTTCGTCTGCCCATCGCGGCGACGCGCCGAGCTTGCGGAAGATAAGAGGGTTCTATGAATTGATCCAGCTCCTCGGAATTTGCGGCGAAGCCGGAATGGTGAGTATTAGAGGATGGTTTGGGAAACAGATTGACGTTGTTTCTGGTTGAAGGATCAATGCTGCTGACGCGCAAAGGCAATGACACACATCAAGTGGCCGGTAGGTGGAAAGGGAAAAGAATTAGAAGAAAGCGACGTGTAGTGGTGGCGATATTGATCCCAAGTGATGAGATGCAATACAGCGAGTACAGAAAAAAAAGGGGGTCGTTGTCGATGTTGATGGCGATGCCGATGGTGGTTGTAGTGGTACTGATTGCGGCTGAGATGATCGGTACGTGCTGAGAAGGAGAAGGAGATTGTTGCGACCGAGGTCTTTCTAGGCAGACAGACAGACAGACAACTTGAAGTGAAAGGAACTGGACAGGACCGATGAAAGGTAAGGAAGTAGTGTTACAAGGTGGGAATGACCAAATTAGAATTGGCGACTTGAAAACTGGGGTTCGGGGACGGGAGTAGATATAGATGATGGCGATGGATGATGGATGGTGGTGGATGGATGGATGGATGGACGGAGGGTTGTTTGTTTGTGTACTGATGTTGCGATGCGGTCGGTACCTGAGTGAGTGATAAGTGTAATGTACGTGCAAGGCAAGGCTGGTACAGTACAGTACAGTACTTCGTACAGTACAACTCTTTGATGGTGCAGGTTTGATAAACTGATAGAGGATGCTGGCGATGCTAAATATAGAGAAGCTGTGGTCGGTGTTGGGCTTTCGAGGGGGAGGGGAGGGGTGTGAGAAGAGTGGCCGGAGAGAAAACAACGGTGGGAGATTGGTGGAGATCCGAGTGAAAGAGGAAAGGTGCGAGTGAGACGAGAGAGAGAAAGGTGGAGTGCCAGGAGGAAGGGAGGATGGTGATAGGACCGACGGATAGGCGAGGCGGGGCCGACGACTCGATGGGTACAAGGCTTGTTCCCTCGAATGCATGGCATCCCTGTGCCACAATATCAGGGTCAGTCTATTCTCCAACGAGGCGAGAGGAGGCTTGACGGTGCACAGCTTAAACCAAAAGGGGCAGCCATCTGGAAAGATATTGAGATGCGGGGCCATGAGGAGAGGGATGGTGATTGGTGGGAAGGGCCGGTAGAGGGAGGAAAGCAAGCAGAAGAGCATTTAGGCGTTTGTAGCTACAGTGCAGTACAGTACAGTAGTAAGTATTACAAGAAAGATAAGATGAAAATAAAGATAAAAATAAAGATAAAAATACCCATACAGTACTCCATACAGTACCAACTAAACAAACATCTATCGTACCCTATCTATTTCTTCAAGCATTACACAGTAACACAGCAATGAATCAGCATCAGCATCAGCATCATATCATTACTGCAACGGTATCAGCCTCCTACTTAGCACGCCAACATCCCTGACTGATATTCCTCACTCGCCACGCGCAACCGTTCGCGTGGCCATACCGTACGGAGTATAAGCGCTCGAGTCGATCAAGGGGGGTGAGTCTCTCTCCCAACTGGCCCAACAAGCCCTACGCGACCCTTCCTCACAGCAGGGGGGGATCTTTTTATCAGCACAGCACAATGGCTGCAGACGTGGTAGAGAATGTCCCATAAATAGCCCACATCTGGGTCTATTTGGCAACAATGCAAGGGAGGGAGGCTATCCAAAGTATACTAATTACCCCGAATCTGGTGTAAGACTTCCCCAGAAACAAACCGTCAAGCCTTCTCCTGTACCGTGCCTGTCGGGACATGTATCTCATGTGCCTGGGAAGGGACAATTCTATTCCTGCTAACACACCTCGATGATTTATGCAGGTACAATGCAGGACATCAATAGCCTCAATAGGCCTATCCTGGAGTCGTTTGTTAAACTGGTATGTATACCTTCTCGCTTGGAGAAATCGTCGAGACTTTGATTTGGAATAAATGCAGTTCTAAATTTATGTTATGAGCTGCGTGCTTACGGAATACAGCAAACAAATACCAGAGTTAGAAAACCAAGCTATTTACAGGATACCATATGGTCGTGAAGCAAGAAATCTATACTCTAGTACCCTCCAACCCAGCAAAGCACAAGCAAATCTCCAGCGGCCATTCTTCAGATGCCGACATGCCAGGTCAGGTCGGCTCGGGTCAGCAATCGCGTAATCCGTCAGCAAAACGCAATCGATTGCAGGGAATATACAGTACCGATCTACAGCACCTACCTGCCCTGCTGCCCAAGGAAGGGACCTCACAATACCCACACAAATCAAATCAAAGTTTTCAAGAACTCTCACTAGAATCTAGATACGACGTAAATAAAAGGTTCAAGAACTCTCACAAGAACCTGGAAACGTTATCCGTACTACCAGTAGATTAATCAACACCATGTAAACTTTGTGTCCACTCCACTGTCCTCTTCTCTCTCAACGGACCTTCTTCTACGTTCTCTCACCGCACACCACGCTACGCCAGGCCACGCCCCGCCCCGCCCCGCACCGCACCGCACCGTTATCGCGACGGAAATTTATACTCAGTACAGCAACCTTTAAAATTATCTACCGAGTATCCCATCCACCAAGCATCTTTAAACTTCTTTCTTCAAAACCTTTCCATACTTACCATTTCCAATCCACATCGCATCGCATCCACATCATTAATTATCCCCTCCCTCCCTCCCTCCATCCATCAATCCAACAAACAATCCCATCCCATCACTCACTTACTCACTCACTCACGCCGCGCTCATATGCACTCCCCCCCCCCCTGCCCCAGCACCCCTGCATCCCACACGCACGCTACTGCACCTCACCCACACTACATCGCATTCCACCACCCCATTCTAAAAATAGACTTAAAAATAGACATTTCACTCATCCATTCATTCATCCCATTCATTTGCACGCACGGTACAGTACACCACCAGACTAGCTAGCCCAGCCTAGCCCCACCAACACAAGTACCGATCGATGCCTCAATACGCCGCCGTACGTACACGATGCTCGGCTAGACCAAGGGAAGAAGAAGAGGGGAGGAAGAAGCAAGAAGGTAAGGTAAGATAAGATAAGATGGATCGTATATTACAGTACAGTACCTGGTTGAAGCGAGATACTAACTAGGATTAAGGTAGTCCTTCCCCTCACGCTCAAGGAGAGTAAGGAAGAGTGAGTATGCCACCACCACTATTTCGGATTATATCTCAAGTATCAAATCAAGGCTAGAAACACAAACCCCAGTCACTCACTCACTCACTCACTCACTCACCATCATAATCATAATCATAATCACCATCACAATCTTAATCACACAACTCGAAATTAATAATATTCGCATTCTTCCCAACTACCGACCCAGCAAATTTGCTTCCAAGATTAATCCCCCGTATCAGTTACAGAATACGCCAATGCTGAGCCGCAACACTTGCATGCCCAATCAACAATTTCATGCCATGCCATGCCATGCCATGTCACACCATTCCAACGCCTGAAAATGCCCGCCCACACGGCTGATTGCGTGCGTATTATGTACAAGTAGGGTGAAGTGAGTTTGCCTTGATTCGGAAGACCAAGGTTCCATGTTCGGGGTAGTGGGGAAATCGGGAATTCGATATCTCCACCGTGTTCTTTCGATTTCGTCGTGCTGTATCGCCAAAGGGAGGATCGTATCTCGTGAGGTTCGAGGCGAGGAAGAAGGGATGGGGCATCGTGTATGTATGTGTACGGATGAAACTTCCGACAAGTAGCTTCAACCAAACGAAGGCGCAGCAGCAGCACCAAAGGCCCCAAACCCAGCCGGACCTTTGTCTTCAGCTTTCATCTGTCCATTCAACATAGGACAAAGCCTGAAAGAATGTAGAGATTAGCATATTGCATTGTATTAAGAGTAGGGAGTGGTAAGAAGACTAATGCCAGCTGCTGCTCCTCCCTTTGCAAGCAAGCTTTCCTTTCAATGTCTCGCTTGAGCATGAGTCCACTAAGTCACGGCCACAGGAGTCGAAAGAATTTAAGCATAGTTGGGGCAGTACTTTTTGTTGGTCTTGATGTGTCCGGCCATTCCACAGTTCGCACATTTTCTTGTCGTCCCTTGGGGCTTCTCGACTGATTTCGCAGGGGTAGAGGCAGGTGAGCCGGTGTCGGATGGCTTGTCGTTTGAGATGATGCCCTTTTGCTTCTCACGGGCATGGCGACGTTCCTTGTTACGCTCTAGACGGGCAAGTTCATCCTTGATTCTACTTGAAGTTAGCATATAAGAAAGAATGAAAAAAGGGTTCATACCTCTTAGCCTCCAGTCGATCCCATTCGGCATTCCCAGTAGGCTTTGCATCGTATACGTTGGTACTCTGGTTATCCAGTGCATGACGGCGCTTCTGGTATTCACGCGCTACACGAGGATCTTTGATGATATGAGTGATTTCCTCGGTCTGTCCCAACTTGTTCCGAACAGTGCGAGTGATGCGCATAGCTTTACTACGTCGATCGACACCACTGAATCTACTGAGCTGGCTAGCAGAATCGTCAAAGCCAGCAGGGGTGGCCATAGACTGAGGAGTTTGACCAGAATTGAGTCTTCGATCTTCATCCTCCTGCTCGAGCTCCATTTCATTCTCGGAATGCTCAGTCGGGTCGGACAAGTTCATCTTTTGCCTATGCCAAATTTCGTTAATGGATTTCTTGTAATTCTCCTCCTGCTCCTTGACGTTGTATCCATGACCATTCTTCTTTTGTGCATCTTTTGCGCTTTGGTCTGAGCTTCCTCCAGGACCTTTAGGTTGAAAGCCGCCTTTCATCGACACTCTGATCATATTGATAGCCAATCCACAGCCGGATGGATCGCCAGCGCCATGAAGGTCGAGCATACCCTTTTCTGTAGAAGCATCGAGGAAAGCTTTGGTGGTTTTCCAAGGCGTGAGATTCTTCTCGAGAATTTGGTCTGGGGTCAGCTTGCCATCATCATCCGCCTCGGCAGCATCCTCTGCTCCCTCCTTGTCTTTTCCGTCCAATTCCATTCCAGCGTCCTGAAGAGCTCGATAGCCAACTTGCATCGCATCGAGCGCACAGATCTCTTCCGGCTTGATCAGACTGCGCGTAGACGCTTCATCTTGCACCATCTCGCCAGGCTTGATCTTCCAGACTTTCTCAACCTTGTCATACAAAAAGTACTCCTTGAGTTTCTGTCTATTCTGCATGTCGCTAGATTCGGCAATGTGTGCTGTAACGTCACCAATCTTAAGATGGCCATGAGGATCGTGTCGAATCTTTCGCATGCCAATCATCTTCATTCGTAATTTCGCAGCAGTAGTAACCCTTCTAGAGTGAGGACTCGGAATTTCCATTGACGGGAACTCTTGCCCTACTGCAAATAAATGATCGATGTTACGAATGTGCCATGACATGCCATGTGTTCCAGTGTTGGTGCGAATGACAAGGAAATCAGTACTCTTGGCATCATGCTTGAAAATCGGAGCTCTATACATAGCATTGTGAAGAGTTCGAACCGTTTCACCCGGTTCAACGTGACCAAATTTTGCAAATGGCGACCTATCTTCGGGGAGAAGTAAAGTTACATCACCGACTTTGTCGTCAGGCAAAGGCCGACTCTCATCATCGGCTTTTTCGCGACGGTAATAGTTGATGATCCGATTTCCCATACCAAAGTTTGAAAGCACTGTTGGATGTTCTTCGGAATATTCTAGCAACGTGGCGCTAGCATAGTGGTCGGCAAGACTCAGATCCTTGGACGTCTTGAAGAGATCATGTGTAGGGAGATTCTTGAGATCCTTCTTCTTCTTGGTAATCCAAGGCTTAGCGAAATGAATAGGTTGGTTCATGACCTTATTGAAATGGAGAGCCGGCCGGTGCCAGCTACGAGCTTCTCCAACCCAAAACTTAACTCGGTAGTATGGCCATTGGAGTCTTTGTGCCGGCAAACTATGCTCGACAGAGATGTTTCCAAGGGTGGCTCGAACTTTGCTCTTGTGGTTCTGCTTAAGAGCCTCATATGCTGCATCATTCGACATGTTAAATCTCGAGTGTAACCTTGCCGAGAGGTCTCCTTTTCCAGCTTTTTGGGTGGATCCGATACGTCGGCGCTTTGCTGGTTTCTGCTCTTGCGTATCGACGAGTATATAAGGATCATTCAGATCAATACATACGCGCTTCGCAACTCTTCTCGTTGCCTCCTCAAAGTCATCGAATGAAGGAACAGGGAAGCGTTGAGTGCTCATGATATCCTTTTCCTGGGTCTGAACCTTCCTACGTTTCGCAGCGGGTCCAAGGATCTCCAGCTCCCAAGCGTCAAGTTCCTCCTCTGATTCCTCAACGGGTGGTGGCAATACTGGGTTTATCCTCGATTCCCAATCCTCACAGATTATCTCAAGGTCAGCCCAAGTAACCCCTCCCAACTTCTCATTTGGGTCTGGTGAAGACCAATCGAAGCCCTCATCGATTTCAGCTTCGTCTGAAGACTCCTCGACAATAGCCACCAGTCCCTTGGCCTCGGCTTCTTGGACTCGCTTTCGCTTATCGGATGTCGCAGGCCCGGCAGAGTAGAAGTTCTTCTCCTGATCCGGAGCAAGATCCAAGCTGACTTTGGTAGGGTGAACTGGCTTTGGACGTCTATCGGGTGTTTTGTAGATGTAGTGTGCAGGTTGCGGAGGCAGTAATTCACTAAAGTTACAAATTGTTCCTTGCTCAAACTTTGGCCAGGACTGTTTCACAAGCTCAAGTATCGACTCCGCGGGAGCAGGTATGGAGGGATCTTGATTCGAGGCCCCGTAATGTTCGGGGAAGTTGAGCTCGCGCAGATCAATTTCAGGTTCGATGGAAGGCAGCGTCAGGTTACCATTGATTTGTGAGATGTTTGTTGTTCCGTCTGGCTGAAATACCTCATCGTCCTCAAACTGGTCGAAAGGTGAAGAGCCACGACCTTCACCAAAGAGATCATCCGTATCGTGGCTTGTTCCCATATCATCAGTAAGACCAGGCAGATCGCCCTCGCCGGCACCAGCTGCATCCTCCTCCTCAGGGAGGTCATCGTCACTTATGTCCTCGTAGTCCTGGGCGTCGTCGGCCTTGTCACCAGTCTCCAGGGGCCGGTTCTCGTCGAAAAGTGCGGGACCTTCACCTTGGTCTTGAGCATCCATCAGTTGCCGAATATTGGCTTCATCCTGTTCCACCTGTGCCTTCCAGTCGACCTCACTGAATGCCGGAGGCTCTGTCGTAGGAGGTGCCATTGTGATAGTTCTCTGGGTGTCCCCTAGATGCCTTCTAAGAAGAGCACCAGCTCTGATGAGCTCCTAACCATCGATATCGCGTGCACAGCAGCTTGTAGTTTGTATGTTGTTCGTCGCGGTGGCGTGGAGATGGAGAGCGTCGCGTCGATATCTTAGGTAGCTTTGTGGCTGTCGGTAATGGAGCGCGGGGTGTCTTGTATATTAAAGTTGCGTGGAAGATCGAGGTTAGAATGTGCGCTACAGGTCGGTATGCGTCACCGGAAATGCAAGGCTGAGAGATTACATTACATTACCCACCATAGGCATCCGCTCTGCTTATGAGCACGTGCCTGAACCCCTGCCAAAGAGTGAGGGTGAGTCTGTTTTGAGGTTTCTTGCATTCTGGCTTCTTATTCCTCTTTAAAAAGGCTACATTTATTGTTGTGAGTTACACTATAAAAACTTTACCTTTCTACATCTTTGGGCAGTGTGAGTTTAAGCTTTGGTACAGTTCTGATCGTCGATGCTAATTGTACAACAATGGTGGGGGTTCCTCTGTCCTCATTATGTTCTACTCAATAGCAAATATTGATTGTTTCTTTGCGCCTTATTCCCATTAAAACTCGCTTTCACCTTCTACATTGATATTAAGCTCTCAGAGTGACTAAAAGCCCCCAATTTGTTCAATCCAAAATCCATATACTCTCCCACTTCCGCTCAACATTTTTGAATTGCTTGATCTCGAGAAGTCTCGATACGTTACTTCGTCATGGCTACCGCCTCACTCCTACCACTTCCGTCGAAGGAGACACTGGTGAAAGAATTTGTGGGCAAGTCCATCAAAGACGTAGCTACACCAGCTGCCGTGCTTGATCTCCAAAAGTTGAAGAGCAACTGCAGTCGCATGTTGGAGGCGGTTGAGTCATTGGACTGTGGATGGAGAGCCCATATCAAGACTCATAAGGTATGATACTCCTCTTCTTATGCTACTGCGATCTTATATTTTGTATTTGATCACCTTCCATTTCCACTACTACTTAGCAATTCTCCTGGTTCAAGTGAGAATATGGATATCGATAATTGATTCGGAGAACGAGTTCCTGTTCCGAACCTCTATAGACCTCGATTGATCTTCGCATTTGAGAAATCCACCCTTCTGTTCTCCTCGAAGTACTGACCTGTTATTCCAGACAACTGAGCTCACAAAGCTTCAAGTTGGTGATGGCCCAGGACCCGTCAACCTCATTGTATCGACAATCGTCGAAGCCGAAAATCTCCTTCCACTACTGCTTGAATACAAGTCAGCAGGACGAGTCGTCAACGTAAGTCCCGTCCCCTCTAGTCCTCTTCCGTCCCTATCAGCTAACACATCCTCAGCTCCTCTACAGCTTCCCCGTAACCCCATCCGCAGTTCCCCGGCTCACATCTATCGCCGCAGCCCTAGGTACGTGACATGTCCTTGTATCGTCCTCTCCAATGTCTCAGAAGTTCCGAGACATCAATAACCACCCCTAGCCCTACAAGATCTTTCCAAACCAAGAGATACTAATTCCGCAAAGGTCCTCACACCCTATCCCTACTAATCGACCACCCTACACAATTCCTCTCCGTATCCTCCATCCCGACTCCCACATCCCTCTTCATTAAGATCGACATGGGCGGCCACCGCGCCGGTGTAACCCCCAACACAGAATCATGCTCTCAACTTATTTCCTCGGCCCTCGCTCTTGAAGCAACCGGCACAGCCTCCCTCCTCGGCCTATATTCCCATGCCGGTCAATCCTATGCTGGAGATGGCCAGTATGCTCCCCCTTACTCACCCCCAAAACTCTTTCCATTTTTTGAAATCTCTCCAGACTTACAAAACATTCAAAACCCCTCCAAACCTTTCCCAATCAAGCAAACTAACTCCCCCCACTCAACAGACTCGTAGCCCTCGATTTACTACGCCAAGAATTCGAAGCCCTCCTCCTAACATCCACCTCAATCAACTTCCCGACATCCACCCACCATCCCCTCGTCCTCTCCGTCGGCGCAACCCCAACCACAACCTCAATCCGCAACCTCCTCCTCCCCACCATCTCGCTCCCTTACTCAGCCGCTCCATCAGTCGCCGCACTCAAGGCCACAATCCTTGCCATCAGAAACTCCGGCTGCAGCATCGAGATCCACGCCGGTGTCTATCCAACCCTGGACATCCAGCAACTCAGCACGCGCGCCCTGCCCTCAGCCCTACTAGGCTGGGACGACATGGCGCTGACCATAATCGCGGAAGTCGCGTCCCTGTATCCGGGCCGCGGGGCTGGGGGAAGTACGGAGGCGCTTCTTGGAGCCGGTACGTTGGCGCTGGGGAGAGAGCCGTGTAAGGCGTATCCAGGGTGGGGCATTGTGACGCCGTGGAATAGGCAGGGTGTTGAGATGCCGCGTGAGGGGCCCGAGAAGCATGCAGGCTGGATTGTGGGGCGCACGTCGCAAGAACATGGGATTCTGACGTGGGGTGGGGAGGTCGGGGGTGAGGATGTGTTGACGGTGGGGCAGAAGGTTAGGGTTTGGCCAAACCATGCGTGTATTGCGGGTGTGGGGTATGGGTGGTATTTGGTTGTTGATGGCGGTGATGAGATTGTGGATGTTTGGGTGAGGTGGAGGGGTTGGTGATTTGTACCAAGGTATGAGGGAAGATAAAATTACAGGTAAATGAGAGGAGCGTAAACGCTTTGGGATAAAGGTACCTAGAACTAGACCTAGACCTAGACAAGGCATAGCATAGCAATATGCAAATAATGATGCTTTGACCAAACTATTCCTTTTGTTTATCTAGATGAGTCTCGGTATCCGTAAACACCATACGCCAGCACCCACCCTGCATAAACTTTTTGATACCCTTCATCTATCATTTACACCTTTTCTCGACAACATTAACCCCAAATTCCTCATACTCCTTCCGACTAATCCACATCTGATGAAACGTGCCCAGACTCCCCAAAATGCTGCCTCCAATCCAGCTCCCAAAGCGTCTCTCAGCCGTCAACCCCGCAGCCTGGATCTTAACCCTAGCCCCAGGATACATGGCCGTAAGCTCATTATGCAACCTATCCGTAAACCCATTAATCAACGTCGTGCCACCCGTAACCACCACGTTCCCGAGAAGATGCGGCCGCAGATCAATATCAACAGCCGCCAGACTCTGCCTCACCATCTCCGGAATCGTCTGCGCCTTTGTAAGCGCCGGCTCATTGGGAATCGGCAGCGCAGCACGTTCGTCAAAAAGGCCTTCTGCAACACTCATGCGTTCCACGCCCCACATCTGGTTCGCGCCATCCGGGAACTCGAAGACGCGCCCGGGCTGCGATTTCACGTAGTCGGTGTTCGATACGCCGTTCGCGTTGACGGTGTTCAGACGCCCCATGCCATTCCAGACCTGCACCACGGACTCCTTGAATTCCGTCAGCACGCGCTCCTCTTCGAACGCGCGAAAACTATCCGGGATCTTATTCTCGTACTTGCGATACGTAGCCTGCGCCGGGGCGCCTGCATCGACGGGAGTTTTCGATGCGATGTCAAAGTGCGGCACGAGGTTTGCTTTGGGCTCTGTGGATGCGAAAAGCGAGCGGAGTTGCGACGAGAGCCAGTTGCCTGCTACAGGCGACTTTTGCACACTTTTCTTGAGGATGAGCCCGTCGTGGATGGAGATTACTGAGGCGGTGGAGGCGCCGACGTCGATTACAAGGGATGTAGCTTTCCCGCCGCCAAAGGCGGCCATTACACTGTTTCGCGCGAGCCAGAAGGCGGGGCAGCCCCAAGACTCCATGGCGATTTCGATGGCTTTTTCGCGGTTCTTGGTGGTGTTCCAGGCTGTTTCTGTCATGAGCAATGGATGTTCCCCCAATGTTCTCTCTCCTTCTTCGACTTCCTCGACGTCCATTGCGATTTCGGAGGGGTCGTTTAGGCCGTTTGTCCTGGGATCTGACTGCTTAAACGATGTGAGCCGAGATGTGATTGCGTATTCCCATAATTGTGTTGCTGTATCCCAATCCTCCACAATCCCCTCCTTCGACATGGGATTCCGAATATCCAAGCCGGCCAAGGGGTTGTGAATCGCATCGTCGCCAAAGGTAAATTTACCAGCGTCCGAGACACCGTAATGCGAATTGACAAAGGATTTCGGGGTATCTTCTCCTGCGAAGCCTGCGCGAACACTGGAGTAGCCTGGGTCGAGGATGATTGCTGATACTTCATCTGTTGTTGGGCAATGGTTAGCAATGTTTATGCGCCGAGGGGTATGGCAGGGTGGGCTTGCCTCCGCCGTATACGTCAGTCGGTTGAATCGACGAGGTCAATGGTTGAGAGGCCGCCATTGTGAGTGCGACTCGTCTTGAATATATGCGACGTTACAAGTATTCGAAATTTAGTTTGTTCTTTCGGGGTTCTGATGTTGACAATTGTCGCGAGAAGCTCCAAAGCTACGGCGACCCGTAGGGACAGGCAGCGCCGTTCAACCCCTCGCCTCGCCTCGCCTCCCTCTTCCCCTCCCCTCTTCTTCACCCAGTATTTTGCAACCTTACCATCCACCTGTTCTCCGGCCTGCAGAATCACCCGCAAGTCAGTGCTTCCTGCTTTTCCCTCATCTAGCAAACATTATACTATACGCCACATCTCTTATTGCTTGTAATTAATTAGATTGTGAACTGTGAACTAGCCTGTTCATTCGAAATCATTCTCAACCTGTCACACTTGTACTTCTATTGCTGCAGTGTTACTCGTATGCTTCACAAGTCAAGTGACTCGATCGAGTTTGTTTGCTAAGTGCGCATAAGACCAAATCTCACTGAAGGTCTCTTGAAGGCTCGTGTTTTTTCCTTGTACATCTCTGGTCACAACTCTGTTGTTATTTCTTAGCTCTCTTCTGAAACGCTCCTTTGACACTACGCGATAGAAGACTATCAGAACCTAACTCTGAAGGTCTGGTTCCTATAGTTTCCCCCAAACTCATTCTCACAATAGTGATGCCTGACTGCCTCTGAATACAGCTAGCGCCTTTGCTTCCTCCGGCTCGGCCAATATACTGTAAAATCCTTCCTTGGCTGTTTCCCCCTCAGCGGCTACATCAGCATTTCACGCAAACCTTTCGCGGAAGATGCAAAGTATGTAACGACTTGAAGCCCGCTCAGCCTCCATTCCCCTGTCTAGGTCGAAGTCGGTATGGTTCTACAATCCCTCGAGTCAAGCTTTCCGACGAGTCAGAAGACAGCCAGTGTTTCTTCTGCAGGTTGGTCGTATCGGCTATCTACCAACTTTTTCCAGACCCCAGCCAAGTGGACGTCAAGAGATTAGTCATTCATATAGCTGTAGACCCCGAGGGAAGTGTCCGTGTCCACACATCGGGCGCCAAAACTCCAGCCTGGAGCCTGGAGCCCCGAGCTTTATAATCCTGGTATGTTCCGATTGTTGCTATCTGTTACTTGGAAGAGCTCCAGTCATCTTTCATGAGCCCGACAGCACGTCTAGACTCTAAGTGAAACCCCAGAATCTTTCGAAGGAATGGTTTTGTGTATATTTATGGGCCGGGCAAACACACGGGATTTTGATCACCCTCGTAGACCAGGATGCCAGGTTGATAGTTACATGGTTGTCGTAGGGTCCTTGTCCACACCGGGTGCTTTTGAAAGACTTGGTCGCTGACCGTCCCTGGAAACCATGGAGCCTTTTTAAAAAGGCAGCGAGTCTAAGGTTATGCACATTGTGTGAGGAGCGAAGTTCCCCTGGAGGACATGGTTCCAACATCAGCCCTGGTGGGTTGACGATACACCGATCCAAAAGTGAAGGAATTCCGCACCTTTTGGTCTTGTAGGCATTTTCTCCTATCTGAATAGAGGGGAGTTGGTCTCGCTTACATGGTACAGTACGGTCTAGGCATCTAACGTCTTATCTCGGAAATCTGGGTAAAGTCGTGGATATCTCTCTACGTTCCTAAAAAATTACACGTGGGAATCTAAATGTCCACGAGTAGCGATTTTCTTTCTATGATATAAATCGACTACTAGCTAGTTTTGGAACGAAAATCACTATGATAGTCGACTGGGGAACATCTCCTACGCATCATTTCCCGCGTCGAATAAAACCGTGGAAACCCTTTATTTATCGCCCATAAGGTAAATTGATATTAGTCAGACCACTGTCATCAAACGGCTCATTTTGATACGAATATTCATATTTTTTGGTCCAGTGACTCATCAACCTTTCACGTACTTTTACGTCACAGCCTCGAACCGTCATCTCTAATAACCTTAACAACGATTTCCTACCAGGAAACCAATTGTGTCATGGCTGTTCACTGACTTGTTCAACCCGTATGGCACACACCCCAAATCCTCACCAGTCCAAATGTCAGTGACCTCGAATGCGTCTCTTTGGTAGTGCTTCGTTTCCAAATGAGGAACTTCACTCCAGATAATCTCTCTTTGCGCGGTATCATCCAACGTATTCAAAGCGAGAACCAGCGTTCCGTTCTCACTCTGCCCGCTCCAATACTCAGCCGGATTCGAAGCATTAAACGTCCAATCGGGATTCGTCCCCCACTTATACGGCGTAGCCGGTTTCCCAAACGTGGCATCCTGGCTAAAAGCCAGCAAATATTCGTTCTTGAGAATATCCAGGAGGTCAGCAGGCAAAAGATCCAAAGCAGTGCCTATGATCAGGGGACTTTTAGCAGCGGCCCAGAAAGCAAAATGGCTTCTATTTTCCTCGAGCGTCAAGTCTCCGTTGCCAATCTCTAGCATGTCTGGGTCGTTGTGGCCCCAGAAATCCACGTAGTTGAGTTGGAAACTGTTCTCGTTGAGGATTTGCGCGATGCGGGGCCAGTCGGGTGTGATGTCGCCTGTTACTCTCCAGCTGTTTCCTGTTGCGTTGCCCCAGGTTATGACGTCCGCTTGGCCCCATTCGCAGAGGCTGTACAGGATTGTTCGGTTCTGGGCGAGTAAGGCATCTCTCATGATCCGGTATCTCTTAGCCTAGAAGATGATGAGTTAGCAAATTATTTTATCGATAGTAGAAGTTTTGTCAGTATTACGTACAGTGTTGCTGGTGCTCCAATCGTAAGTTGCGGGGGCTGTCGTATTGTCAATAGAACAAGTTCCGTTGGCATAAACTTGGCCGTTGGTACCATCTGGGACGCAGCCAACATATTGATCGGTCCAGTTCGAAGGAACGTAGCAGTTGTCGTACTTCAGATAATCGATGCCCCAAGATGCGAAAGTGGCGGCATCAAGTTCCTCGACGCCAATAGAGGCAGGGTACCCCCCACAAGTCTCTGTTCCCGCACTGCTGTAGATGCCAACCTTGAGACCAAGCGCGTGTATCTTATCGGCTGTTCCCTTGATTCCAGAGGGGAACTTGACGGGATCGGGAACTATCTGTCCAGTGACATTGTCTCTAGCATCCTTGATAGACCAGCAATCGTCAACTCCAGATGAATGTTAGAAACCCGAATGCTGTGAAATGGATCAATGGGGCTCATACTGTTGACATAACTGTAACCAACGTCTTTGAGCCCGAGGCTGACGATTTCATTTGCTGCAGTCATGATTTTGTCCTCATCAACAGCACAGTTGAATGCATTCCATGAGTTCCAACCTAACGCTGGCAGTTTTCCCTTTTGTCAAATTAGCACGGATATTTCAATCTAAAAAAGACATTTCATACTACACCATCTTTCCGCACTAATGCATTCGTACTTGGAAGTACTGCTAGAGCTGTGAGAGCAATGGAAACGAGCATTTTGTTTGTGGTGGGCAAGTTGTGCTTCGAATTCCATGGGAAGTGTCTATATATCTAGACTTAAACTACTAGATCTTTCTTTCTTTTTCTTGGTTTTGTTTTACCACCTCGGCTACTACGTAGCACTTAATAACAGCTCCTACCCTGACGAGAAAACTTATGTTCCAGCTTTTTGCTTCCGTCGGATGTTATGATTGGCAGGCAGATCGGGGTAATGTTCCGGCTGATCTATAGTAGTACATTTAGCCCAATGGAAACTTCCCCTCCGTGTATAAAATAGCCAGGATCGGGTGCATTCTCGGCTTAACGTAACCCGCCGTCCTCCAAGTACTTTTTGGAACTAATAACGCAAAGCCAGCTGCAACTGTATATTATACTTCCGACGACCGGCGAATCGGTTTCAACTATCAATTTAGCCTTTCTAGTCTATTGGAAAGAATGCTTCGCTTGGTTAACACAAGTACCCCTCGGTACACTCTATTGCTCCATTGGTTTTCAGGCTTGGTTTGGCCCGACCCCGCATCTGTGGCGGGGTAGAGAGAGGGGGAAGAGGATCATCAGCAGGGGGCACAAGATCACTTGGCAGTCAGGTACCCACGCTATATTGTGGCGTGGTGGCGTACGGTCATTAAAGGAAGGCTGACTTTAAAAATGCTAAAACTAGTCGATTTAAGTTTTTTAACTCTAGGTAAAGTATGCTGTACCTAGTAGTAAAAGCGGTAGCTGTAGAGGGACTAAATAGCTTACTAAGCAATCTTATAATAATCAGCAGATGCAAAAACTACGATTGATTAGCTAAATCATAGTTAGTCAATTATAGGTCAAATCTATTAACTATATGGAACCATTTCAGGGCCAGATAAAGCGTGTTACATAATTTCTTAAAAGTGATCATTTAGCTATCATTTTACATGAAAAAGGTCCGGTATATAAGGCATCTCAAATATTACATCACCCTTACCGCCATCTCCCTATCTTGTCCATCCCAGTCAACCGCCATTACCTCCAACTCTCTCCTATATTCCTACCTACATCTTTGGCTTCCTTCCCGTCCTTCTAATAATAACGAGAAGGGCATTTCTAGTACCCTCCTCCCCGCCCCCTTTCTAACATGGCAGAAGCGGCCCAACAAGCATATCGGGAGGACAAGAAGCCCACCGACCAAACAACCGAAAACATAACAAAAATACTACTCCTCCTAGCGTCAACGATCAGGCCAATTCTGCCATGCTTCTCTTCATCATATCCCCCGAAAGGCACAACCGGTCTCTGTTCCGGCCTTGCCCATTCCACAGACGAGCAATAAGCTTAATATTTCACGAAGAAGAAACTCCTTGGCGAAACTAACATGAGTTGAGTTTCGACAGAACATTTTTAACGTGCAAGAAGCAGAAGTAGAAGCGCGACAAGCAAATAACTACCTTACAACAAGCATGCTACGAGGATAATAACAATTGAAGCAATGCCGTGAGGATAACAAGAAACTCACCCGCCATTATCATATAGCGAAAAGAGTCAGATATAAGTTTCTCCACAAGTCGTCGAACGTATAAGCTAGTTGTGTCTGCAATTTAAACCGTGCTAATTGTACATACATACCTACTTTATAGCTCGACTTACCCTACGTCCCCAAGTGATATATATATTGCAAGGGAAGGGAAGGGAATAGTGATGCATTCTCACGAGAGCCCTACATATCCTAGATCTTCTTCCAACCCACTCACCCAGCACACAACGGAAGCTGATAAACGGAACGGCATTATTTCGCACCTATTGGATGGTTGGTTGGCTATCTCATTATGTACTTGCTAGCCTTCATGTTTCCCTTGTAGATTTATTGAAAGGCTATCTGAACAAGCTGTGCACCATAACTAACATGCAGGAAGATTAAGTTGGGAAGAACGTCCTTGATGGGGGAAGATGTAGTGCCTAGGACAGTATGCTTAGTAAACGAGGCAGATGCAGTACACACAACTCTGTCCAGTTACAGATATAGGAAGTCTCATCTCAAACGGGAACAAAACAAGCAAGTTAAGTTAAGTATACTCAACACATATATTTATAATTAACACCCCTACTCCACGCCCCTCACCTAGTACTGTATCTGCACCCCTGCCCCCTTCCCCCCCCTCCCACTCCAACCTCCCTCTCCCTCTCCCTCTCCCTCTCCCCCTCCACCTCCACCACCTCCCCTATCTATGTCCCTATCCATCCATCCATCAACGAAGCAAGTAAAGCCAAGAAAGAAGATCGCTAGCAATCTGGTATTTGGTATCTCAAGAAGAACAAGCAAACAAACTCATAGATAAAGCAAAGAAAACAAAAAACAGAAACGATATATGCTGGCACGTGACGTTACGTCCTGTGAAAAATCGAGCGCACTCAAAATTAAATCAACGGCGGTGTATCGAAAAGTTTGTTTGGCGTAGTAGTAGCAGGGTAGGAACATGGTAAGGTAAAACAAATTAATCGCTCGGGTGGAAATCTTTGTTCGATATGAAGAGGCCGTTTTTTGCAAGTGAAGTCAAGTGAAGGTTTTGGGTATACCAGATGAATCAAAGGGTTTGGGTGTGTGGTTTAGCGGCGGGCAGGTGAAGCAGCGCGCCAGATTGTTCCATATTGCCGGTCAGCTCAGCGACGCGGGCTTTGATTCTCGCGACTCGCGACTCGATTGCTATTCCCATCATTAGTCCAATCCCATAACTCGTCTTTTCGAAAATTTCAAGACTTACTTTCTTCACCACTAGTCTCGCCATCATCACCATCAGTCTTCTGACTGTATCCTCCTCTACTCTGCTCCTCGCTTTGTCGTTGCGCAGCTCGGTCAGCAGCGTTCTTCCGGATCTGTGCCCATCGGTCTTGGGTCTGCGATTGCTCTTTTTCTAAAGGTGCGCCGTCCTCTGATTCACGGGCCCGGGAGATATTCGGCGGTGCGACATCTACACTCTCTCGTGGAGAGCCTTCTACGAATGCCGGGATGTCTTCGAGTGGTCCTTGGTCGAAGCTGGAGAATGCTCGGTTGGCTTCATGGGCATCAGCCGTGTCAACACGGGAAAGACTTTCAACCGAGGGTTCATATGGATGTTCGTACTCCTGATGAGGAGTAGCGATAGGGGTGGCATCGTCTTCGTTAACACTATGGGCAACGGATTCTATCTTCGGGGTTGGCGGTGCGACTGGACCAGGAGATGAACTTTTCTTACGGCCCATATTCGAAAGCTTCCTTCCCAAGCCTCCGCCACCGGGTTGCAAACTACTTTGGCCGTTGGTCACTTGCGGAGGAGCACTTTCCTGGGCCTTGGATGGGCGTATCTTGCTTCTTCCGAACATTTTCCTAAATCCACCGCCGCCTCCGGCTTCTTTCTTCTTTAGCTTATTGTGTTGTTTCTTCAATTCAGGACTGGACCCACTTTGTTGTTTATCGTCCGACGGCCTAGTAACCTCCATACTTGGCTGAGGTAATGGAGAAGGAGGCCTTTCTATTGCTGGATGAGACTCCGCTGGAAGGGCAATCTCAGTTGCCTTTTCAGAAAGCTCAAAATGTTGGTCACTAGCAGGAGTCGGTGGAAATGGTGCAGGGGAAGCTACAGGTGGCGGGGTAGGCGTCTTGGAAGGAACGGGGGGTCCTGCCTGTGGCGCTGCTGGCAAGTTTCTCTCTGGAGAGACCTCCGGCTGGGGTTTCAAGGTATCCTGGCTCTGCGTGTAGTGGCCATTTGTCTGCATCGTTGCGTCGCCAAGTCCTCGTCCATGATTAGCATTAGCAAGATATGCTTCTCGAATAGCAGCCTTGTCATATTGGTTCGCCCATTGCATCGCCGGAGAAGCAGCAGATCTGATGACTGGTTGAAGTGTAAAGACACTGCTGGTCTTTTGTGACATCATATCCATATCTCTTCCTCGTCGAGTGCCTACCTGCTGATCTTCATCTACCTGTCTCTGCTTTTGCTGTAGTTGAATCGCAGCGGCTTGGATTCGAGCATGCTGATCTGGGCCAATACTGGTCTTGCTCGTAGCTTGGCTTTGGCTCGTCTTATATGATGGCCGTAAGCTGGAGTTCGGTTCTTGCTTTCCTGTTGTCGACTTTCGCCTGGAGACTTTGTTCTTCTTGCTTCGTCCCCAGAAACTTTTCTTTTCTGCAATATATGCGCCAACTTCGGGTTCAGGAGCAGCGCCTTTAACCATCTCCTCCATGACCAGCCATCTACCACTTCTGATGACCGTTTCAATAAGGGCACATCTTCCAAAAGCCGCCTTGCGATCTGGTGTCTCTTCACCAGCTAGACTGGTAATCCATACCCACCAAAATGAATCGTCCAGATCAAACCTAGTAATGCTAGCTAGCTCACCGGGCTCCAGATGGGATTGCGGTGTTGGTCGATGCGATTGCGAACTTCTACCTCGGGTATCAATGGGAGGGAGGACTTTATCAGGAGGTAATAATAACGGCGCTGGTCCATTCTGGGCCTCGTCGACGAAGCCGGACGAGAGAAAATCTGCCCAGGATGGGGTTGTAGGTCGGCCACCAGCCATATTTCTAGAGTGTGGGGTTGTCCTTAACCCTTGTGGTTGACGCTTCTTTGCAAAGCTGCTGTCCTCATCCTCTTCAAGCTCATCAAATCCAGCAGAGAAGCCGATATCTTCGAATCTGGACCACGAAGCATCCTTTAAGCCAGTCGAGTCCTTGGAAGTCGACACCTGCGATTGATTTGCTGTAGAGATGGACTTCAGCACTCGACGACATTCGTCCGTCAATGCTTTCACCGGGTCTTCAAAATCAGCGAATTCTTGTAGCGCTCGATCGTCATCCCTGTATTGGAAGTGATTTGCGCGGCGCAAGAGTGCGAAAGGAGTTGGCGAGACTGAATCAACTATCATCACAACTTTGGTCGTGGATGACTGCAGGAGTGATGGCCTCTGGGGTGGGTATTCCGTCTCCTGAACCAACTTTTGAAGTGACATAGGTAGAGTCGAGATTCCATTTAGTCCTACGATGGATTCCGGCGACAGGGATCGAAGGTACGCAAAGAATAGATGACTTGCGGCATCTGCAGCACTACCTAAAAGTTAGCATCATCCTTTCAAGGTTTTTTCAGTTTCTGGATATCATACGCTGTCCAGCCTTTGTAACCCCCTTCAAAACCATTTCCTCCATCCGAATGCTCAAATGCCCACCAGCCCGCTAATCTAGACAATTTCCTTCCACCAAGCCCATTTGTCTTTGCATGTGCTGCAATCGCGGAAAGTAGATCAAAGAAATCAAAGATGATCTTAGTCCTGGAATCTGTATCGACACTTAGTGGGATGAAAGTCGCAAAAGAATCCCGGGCCATATTCGAATCTACAACCCCATAGTCAGTCTATGCCCCAGCACTTTGAATAGATGCAACAGACCGGACTCGCCAACTTTGAATAGCTCGTATGCCTCCCATGATACCACTCCTCCCGGTAATCTGCTCCAGCACCATTTCACTACACTGCATAGCACCTGTATCAATTAGCCCTTGCTGCTCTTCCTGCGACCCATTGATTTTACCATAGGCTCCGTCAATCGCAACTCATGTGCCAATCCCTCTCCATATAGCGAGCCGCGATCGCTAAAGAAAGTTCGAATAAAATTCCGCGCGGCGCTGGGATCTGACGTCGGTCGAAATGGGAGGAGGAGGAAAGGTGTATCCAGGCCTGGAAAGGAGAACCATGTTAGTTTTCGTGTAACTCATGTCTAGGGCAATGGCCTGCTGCATAATCGATAGCGGGAAAGGAGGAAGGATAGAAGTAAGATCTTCCTACCTCTTGACTTCAACTCCAAAGTGCAGCCGCGGAGCAGCTCCTGTACCTCATCTGGCTCAACGCTTGTCCTCGTCCACGCATCATCCCATCGTGGCTTTGGTGGTGGCGCCGCGACGTTCTCCTGCTGTGCGCCCTTCTTCTTGTTTACTTTGGATGGGCCATCTTTGCCCTTTAGCCTCGAGAAGAAGCCTGCCATCGCGAAGGGCGTATGCGGTTCGTGTGTAGACTCGAGGCTAGATGCGGTTGCTTCGCATTCAGATGGCGGAAATTTGTTGTACAGTACAAGGGTACTCTTATTATTCGATTGCGCAGCGCCCTCTCACATGCGGGTGTGCTTTCTGTTTGTTCGTTATCGAAAAAGTCCCTGGCGGTGACTTGGGCGATTCAATGTGGTGTTGCGGTATTGTGTCGATAACAATTATGAATTGGAATATTCAGGAGAAAGGCAAAGCGCTTCCCAGATTGGAATGATTAAACTTTATCTTGCCCCTGATTGAATAATTTAAGATTGCGCATTGACCCCGGCCCGGGCGGTGTGGATGTGTTCAGCCTAGCTCCCGGGAGTGAGAAAGACTTAAGAGCACGGGATGGAGAGGGAAAGATATGTAGCAGAGTGACAATTGGTTGCGATGACTGTTTGTGTTTCTGTGTGGTGTTGTGGTTGAGGGGTTGAGCTGGAGTGGAGGGGAGGGGAGGGGAGGGGAGGGGAGGGGAGAGGAGAGGAAAGTACTCCTACTACAGTCCCTCCTGCTGTTGTTTGAGATGCAGAGACGTGTACAACGAATCGGGTAGCGCCATGAGGTAAGCAGAATGGACGACCCAATCCAATCCCAATCAATGCCCATCTCAGTTAAAGCGAGGCAATTCCAATATGAACCAGGAGCATGGCTCGTTTAAGAAACAACAGGAGAACGCGTGAAGGCGACACGATTGGCTCGAATGGGTCTTCTCTTGACATATCAGAAGGACAAGGAGTTAAGGACCTACCTTAGCGAACTTCCCCCTGTCGAACCATCTCATCCCATCCAACCCAACCCAACGCCATACATAGATAGCACCCAACTATCCAGCTCAACTGCCAGCGCATAAAGTATCGTCAATGTATCAGATCCTTCACTGCAGCCAGTTGATCATCGAAGGGGGGATGCCAGTCATCGAGATGAAGTGTGAGAGGAGGGGAGGATATCAAAAAGGTACAGTACTTGAACAATGCATGCATTTGCTCGTACTTGGTCATCAAGTTCATGCGTCCTTGCTTCCGGAATCCTCGTCAATGCTCTGTATTGTTGAAATAAGACTTCCTCTAGTGAGGCGAAACATAGCTAATTTGATCCAATCCAATCCAATCATCAAAGGCTTGTTAGTTGGATCACCTGCAAGGCTACCACTCCTACCGAGGACACAGCCTTCTAGCTTTATTTAATATACTTTCATTGTACAAACACATAAGTAATGTTGAAATTGATTCTATCCGAATAATATTGCGAAATGGCAACTATATTTCCATGTCTCGGCGCTAGGCGATCAAACGGTCTCAAGTGAGGCAGGCGAAGAAGTGGAATTGCTGTCATATCTATAACCTAGATTTAGTTATTTCAAGTGAGAAGTTCTTCACGAGTGTCTTCAAATCCTCGAGTTTAATGAGGTGTGGATGAGACATTTCGAGATCTCTATTCATTCATAAATGTCTGAAGGCGGGAAATTTAAGCCAACATTGTCTATATATGCCAAATCTTTATCCGAGACCGTCTACTTACATTCAAACGAGTTCTTGAAATAGGATGATTTCAATCTATTGTATTTGAAACTCTAGCATAGTTAATACCACACACACAAAGAATCCAATAATTGATGCACATGTGACAGATACAGGGCTAGGTAATCGGTCACACCTACCTACTTTGCCCAGTACATACCCAGGTATATATCATTCTCCGATCATTCAAGCGATGATCTTTATATACGAGGTAAACAAAACCCATGAACAAATACATCGGTTACTACCAGCATCTGGTACGGACTGCCCTAAGAAAAAGGAGTGAGAGTCACGTGACTCATATTATTATAAATTCTACTCTATTCCTTAAGCTGTCATCAAGCCCTCTCTACTATCTAACGTTAGTTTAGCTTAGTTAGGTAGTAAAAATAACTGCTTCTACCTACTTACGAAAGAAATCCCTACATACTTGTAGTCATGACGTCAAAGACTACTTACTACCCTCCCAATCACTTCATATCAAACCCCCTTCATTACTACCCATAAACATAAAACCACACACCCATATCCCCCTCTTCTGCACAAACCCAACAATCACCCCCCCTCATCTCATCCAACCCACCAGCCAGCAAAAATGGTCAAAGACAACGAAACAGTAATCAAGTCCGTCTGCCCCTACCCTCCCCCCTTCCCCATCAACTAATCAATAATCCAAATCCACTAACAAGAACCAAACAGAGAATTCAACACCCTCATAAACATGACTCCCTCAGATCTAGAAACCTGGCTCGAATCCCCCGATTCTACATCCTCAGGCTGGGCCAAAGAAGACGGGAGTGGAGAAACTATCGGTCACGATTCGTACTCCTCCCCCTACCCATCCACCTACCCCAATTCTAACCTCAACATATTAATCTTTGCTTGGCAGTGGACGTAAAATCGTAGAAATCCTAAAGAAGAATCCAAAGAAAGATCCAGGGGGGTATGATGAAGGTGCGTACTTACCTATCTATGCCGCATTGTACAAATGAAGTCCGGTGGATTTGTGGGGTGGAAGCAAGGCGAAAATAGGGCTAAAATTGAGTGTGAGTAGACGATCTACCACACATGAGAAAAGTCGTCGCGTACTGTAAGCGTCATTTGGCGCAGGAGGAGAAGGCGAAGCGGGATACGGGGAGTAAAAGTTATAAGAGCTTGAAGAATTGGGGACATGATGCTCAGAAGAGTTAGGGTGGGTGGGTTGTTTGTATTGGGGTTTGGGGGGAAAGGGGTGGAGGGGTGATAGCTGATGCGGTGTGTATGTGACAAATGAGCAATAGAAGACGTATTGGCTTTGTAGTATTGAGAAATTTTGTTCATATTAATCGCTAACCCGTCAACTCCGACAAGACAAAAGAGACCTGTGATATGATGGGGAGAGTATGTACTTCGTAAGACATTAAACACCCTTCTCCGCTTCCTCCAACATAGCAGCCAACGCGTCCTCGTCTTCAAACTCATCATCCTCAATCGCAGCCTCCAGCCCCTTCTTCTGCACCTCCACATCCTTCTCCACAACCCCCTCCTTCTCTGCCACAACCCCCACAACCTCCTCCTTCTCTTCCTTCTTCTTCCCCCCTAAATCCCAATCCACCCCAGCACCAACCCCGTACCGTCCCTCCAACCACTCATTACACTTCTTAAAATGCCCACAATCAAACCACCCCCGACTAGCACTAAGCGGACTAGGATGCACAGCCTGCAGCACCTCATGCCTCTTCCGATCCACCTTAACCACCCTCTTCCCCGCCGGCGTGCCCCACGCCAAAAACACGACGCCCATGCGCTTAGCCGCCACGACCTCAATAATCCTTTGCGTGAACTTCTCCCAGCCGCGATTCGCATGGCTATTAGCCTCGTGCGCCCTTACCGTTAGACACGTGTTGAGCAGCAAAACCCCGCGGTCCGCCCAGGGTGTTAGGTCGCCGAGTTTGTTGGGCGGCGGGGTGAAGGTGGGGTAGTCGCGCGCGAGCGCTATGTAGATGTTTTTTAAACTCGGGGGAGCGGGCGTGGGGGCGCGCACGGAGAAGGCGAGGCCGTGGGCTTGGTGCGTGTTGTGGTAGGGGTCTTGGCCGAGGATGACGGCTTTGACTGTGTTGAGGGGTGTGTGACGGGACCTATTTCTTCAGGGTTAGTTTTGATGCAAGTTTGAAAGCTGTGGAAGGGGTTTTTTTGATAATGGAGGGAAGGAAGAGGGAGAAGAAAAATAGGGAACAAACCAAGAATAAACATCCTCCATTGGCGGATACACCTTCCTACCCCCCTGAATCTGACTCTTCAAAAACCTCTTCAACTCCAAAAACTCCCGACTCATAATATCATCTCTCAATTCCTTCAACCAGCTCTCATGCAGCGTGTCAATCTCCAACTGCAACAATTCCTTCTGCTCCGGCGTCAACGTCTTGACCCAAGCGTCTTTATTGAATTTCATAGCTGGAAGACAGGCACCGGTCGAGTTCTTGGCCGCAGCATCTCCGGGGACTGTTTTCGGGCCACCGAAAAACGACGTAATGGACCCATTCGCTTTGGGCTTTTTCGCTGTGTCTGAGAGAGGCACGTTGCTTGCTTTGCGTTTTAGGGACATGATTGTGAGTGTATGGGGTCTACGGAAGAGGAGGATGAGAGACAGTTTGGAGGTTTGGTGGGAGGGAGGGAAAATGGTGTGTTTAAGGAAGTGAAGGTGGATGTGGATGTGATGTGGGGAGGGTGGAGAAGGAGGTTGGATTTTGGTTTGCGTGAAGACTTGCGGCGTTGGAACGCGAGCGCGTTAAGTGGTTTTGGCAGGGGTACGCGATGTCAGGTCCGAGCGTGCAGCCAATGGAAGCGCGAGACTTGATTGGAAGTATTTCATGATAAGTATCAGGGTATTATATTACTGTAACATCTATGCTATTATCTATCATACTCATACTTTTTAGCAACGCCTAAATCGCTATGAAAAAGCAAACACCCAACCTTCATGCGTGCTCCAACCCCTCGCAACGCCCCAAAATATACAGAGTGGAGTTGTGTAGCAGTTCATATCGCCCCCTTTTTCCGTTCCGCCCGCTCATTCACGCTTCTAAATGTTCTCTTCCCAACTTCGTAAGAACTAATCATGATTGCACATGCCGGAGCAACTTTCAATGTCCTTGGAATCCACCCCCTCCAAAGACCGGAAAATCCCTCCGTCTTGAAAATGTGCCAGAGAAATCGAGGCATTGATCTCTCTTCAGGAGCCAAGATCTTTTCAACTCCAGCTGGGGTAGTTCCTGGTTCCACGTAAACCTGCCGCCGTGTCTTGCCCACATCAAAGGGCATCGTTATAATGGATGCAACGGCTCCAGATGTTGCACCAGCAATAAAACTATCCGTGAAAGTTGCGGTATGGTTTTCCCGACTCTGGGACCTGCTCCTCGCACGAGATCTAGAACTTTCGGTGCGAAGATCACGTCCTCGTCCTCGCTCCCGAGCCTCTGTCAAGGCTCCTCTGATGCTCTCATATCCCCACCAGTAGATCCCGGAGAACGGGACGTCCCGCCAAAGTGTTAGGGTAAGACCACGCCACAGGGAAGTGTATCCGTGACTAGCAACCATTTCTCCGATTCCTTTCACAGTCTCCGCAAAGTGACCACCTCCAGTAGTTCGACTAGCCTGCATCCTCGTCCGGAACATCTCAATCGGACTTACTACTCCAGCAGCAAGTATCCTAGCCACCGCTCCAGCGACGAGTGGCGCAGAATTATCAGAGGCATATCGACTGATGGGACTCTGCTTATGGAATCGAAGCCAATCATAGCCTGTGAAATATATGATGTTCCCCGGTACCGTCATGAGCAATGTTGGAGAAAGACCTCGCCATAACGTTGTAACCCCTTCATTCCGCGCAATCTTCCGTAGTCCATCGAATGTTGAGTTGAAAGTTCTCTGCTGTGTCTCTTCCACCGCACATTGCGCCGCTCCTATTCCTGAATTCATATCCCCAATCTTCGTCGCCGCCATACAAAATTCGGTATTGTTGGTGGCAAAGAAAACCTCGCGACAGCAAGCCGTTACTCCGAGATTCGGCGGCAGGTTGTTGATTGACTGCGAGGAATTCAAGGCAAGCGTCCGTATACTCGTGAGTGGTGACTGCGTTGGCTGCGACTGTAATCGAACCCGGACAACATCGAGAGGGGTAACTATTCCGACTATCAGCGGGCGCAAACGCATGTATTATTACTTCACTTACCCAATATCGAAGTCAACAAGCTGCCGGACATGGCAGACAGCATCTTCTGCCCGGCAGTAAGGCCAACCTCGACATCTTCGCTATCGCCAGACACGTCACCAGACATGGCTATCGTTTCTTCGACTCCGGGAATTGGGTCATCGCCGTGTATTCTATCGTGCCGTTGACCTTGACCTCCCCAAGTTGTATCCTTTGCAAAAGTGGTGGCGAGCTCTTTGTCCGCTTGGCCGTCGTTGGCCCAATGGGTGGTCATCGACGAGAAGTTTGTGTGGATTGTATTGTCGAGATACAGTTGGATGCGGGATAGCTGGTGATACTGATATACGCGTTTGTTGGTCGTTTGTTGAAGCTTTGTGGACTAAGAGAAAGTAAAAATCCATGACGCTGAAAATGTATATAATTTACCAGTCCAGTAAAGGCCGAGCTCCGATAGCGCTAGAATACACCGAGAATCCCTGGAAGACCCCCCACATTTAGGGTATTTAGCTTGCCTAGCATCTTTAGGGGCGGCGATAAGATATAAACATTTATGGACGACATCTCTTGAACTCAACCACCAAAATCCTTGTTTTCTTTCATGAACTTTTTATAGACTGCACAATACGGGATAAGAATGGAAGAAGCAAACCCCGAGTTAGAAGCGTTTCGGCGGAAATGGCGAGAAGAAGTTTCCGCCAAAGTCCAAGACCCCTCCAAACCAACAGGTCCCTATAAAGAACCCCGCAGACCTCGACTTACTACACAAACATCTGCACGAAGATCCTCGAAAACCTCAGAAGAACACGATCAAGTTGAATCTCCTACGTTCTCTGGACTTGATGCCCCACGCACGTTTGATGGCGAAGCCGGCGAGAGCTCCAAGTCTGCGAGTAATGAACCACAATCTGCTCTGGAACACTATGAGAAGGCGGTAGAGAGGGAGAACCAGGGCAGTCTAGGGGACAGTTTAAATCTCTACCGGAAAGCCTTTCGTGTAAGCTGAAATTTATCTCCATATGGAACACAACTGACTCGTTATGTAGATGGACCACCGGGTTGACCAAAAGTACAAAAACAAGCATTTCCCTCCATCTTCTTTCGTACCGAAACCTACCAATCCAAACCCATCGAATGCCTCAGTCACAGTACCCAGTACCGCCCACCACTCCCTAGACGGGCCTCCACAATCACTCAAAGAACTTATTGCAAGCTTTTCCGGCCTCACCATAGAGTCTGCACCTCCAGCTGTAGAAGGAACCCCAACTCTCCCATGTCCTTTAGCAGAGCTGCCAGATGAATTAGCAATCCACATCTTCAAAGAGGTAGCTATCCGAGATGTAGGATCTTTCGTCAGACTGGCCCAAGTCTGCAAACGAATAGCCTACTTAGTCCTTACTGAGGAGCAAATTTGGAAGCGGATATGCGTGGGATCCGAAGTCGGATTCGGCGTTATGCACTATTCGTGGCAGCGAGAAGTCCTCGGAGGTCCACTACAAGAAGACCATATCCTAGATCCGGGCGATTCCGAAGACGAGGAAGCCCCCATGCCGCTAAGCAAGGAGGCCATTACTGATGTCTTGCTCCCCGCGTATTCGTCTTCATGGCAGCAGATGTTTCGTTTCCGTCCGAGGATCCGCTTCAACGGTTGCTATATCAGTACGGTCAATTATATCAGACCGGGTCAGGGTACTATATCGCATGTTACGTGGCACAACCCGGTGCATATCGTCACTTATTACCGATATCTGCGCTTCTTCCGAGACGGAACGGTTATCAGTCTCTTGACGACAGAAGAGCCGGCCGATGTAGTGCACCATCTCACGAAAGAGCTGCAAGATACACACCGAGGTGGAGGCTCTGCCTACCTCCCTTCGATAGTCATGCAGAACGCTTTGCGTGGACGATGGAGACTATCAACAGTCGCCGATAACCCAGACGCGGATCTTAAAGACGCAGAAGGTATTTTATTTGTCGAGACTGAGGGCGTGAATCAGAAGTATACCTATCGAATGAAACTCTCTCTGGGCAGTTCCGGGAAGGGCGCAAGGAACAACAAATTGGTGTGGCAAGGCTTCTGGAGTTATAACCTTCTAACCGATGATACGGGGGAGTTTACGCTGCGGAATGATAAGGCATTCTTTTTTAGTCGCGTTAAGAGTTACGGTAGTGGAGCTTGAGACAATGAGATGAACATTTCATAAACACACTTTGTTTTGAACGGCGAGTGCCGCTTCTGAGCTTCTCTTGATATTTCAATATCTGATTCATTCTGCAAACAGCACTAAAGCCGTACCTCACTCCAGCCGCCATCTAGGATATTTCGCTAACGCTCTCGTCGAGAGGATGTTACGGGATCACCAAAGCTCGTTCTAGATGTCGCTTGTGCTAAGGAACCTGCCTTGGGTACTCACCAATTCCCGAGAAAGGCGAAGAATGCTTTCAAGTGCCCGCTATTTTGGTTCAACCATTGTATCAAGAAAGGAAACCTACTCGATTTCAGACTTCGTTGTATCTTTATTTTGCAACCTCGAGGCAATGTGAATTGAATCTCCGTTGCACCAGTAAAGAGAGGTTCGAGTTATTGTTTTCACCTTTCGAGGTTTGCCTCGGGGTGTAGTTGCTCTGCAAACTTAAAGTTGCACATCCACCCAAAGCTTGGGGGCACTCTCCATTATAAGGCAACCACTGCGCAGCTCGTTCTTACCGAATACACTGCGCCTGCTATATTCGGTATCTCAGCCTCCTCTGGGGTGACCATTGCGTGTACACATACGCAAGGGACTGTGCCGCAGCCTTGCATTTTGAGCCTCATTTTACTCCTTTTCCCTCTTGTGTATTAATTTACGATGGTTTGGGGCTTTAGAAATCCAGGACGGCTTTTCTCCTTGCGCCCAGATACTTGAATTGAGAAACAAGGCATGTTGGAGCCTTGAGAGTAAAAGCATTCCGTGGCTCTATTTGAAACTTGTAGCGCGTAGGGCGGTGTGTTGGTAGGGTATGCTTTTCTATGCCATGACCTGCTACATTCTGTATCAAGTGCAAATTCTAGGGCGCACTCTTTTCCTGCTATATTTGCCTGTTGGTCGAAGAGATAAGAAGGATGCTAGAGCCTTACATCTATCTATATAGCCAATAGAAAACTTCTCCCCACACAAGTGTTGTCATGGCCCGATTGGACATTGCAGAATCTGCATTCAAAAGTTCAAGAATTATATCTGCGGTGTGTTACCAATCTCTTGAACAGCTGACAGTTTACCACAGAGCCGCATCCTCCAGGTGTACGCTCGAAGTGGGGAGTGTGCACGAAATTTTCATCGGACGCCCTGATTTCTCGCCCCCCTTAATGTCTTGAAAAGTCAGCTTGGAGGGCACACAACATCAAGGCATTGTTGGCTTAGTTTGCACATCTCATTGCGGTGCTTACATGGCATGTTAGGTTTTAACCTCGAACCATGATCGACAGCCTTGTTTTAGACGGTAAGGACCAGAGCCTCAAGTAATTTGGAGGGGCGACAAAAATGTTTCGGTGAAAATGTTGCAGATTATAGAGACCGTTAATTCGAGGAAACCCTGTTTTTTTCGAACGTGGATGCTCAGGGGCGTCACTTTCAGTTATCGCACTGCATATAACCTCGCCCTCTCAACGAGGCATCAAATTGCCTTACAGGCATCGACTTTCTCGCCCAAATGGCGGTCTGGCAAAGATAAACAATTTAATATCCTCGTATTGGTATATATTAGTTTCTACTCCATAGTTTTCAACCTCGCTGAGCCTCAATCAATTGTGCCTCAATTTCCAAGACAGTCGGAGAGTTCCTTTCTTTTGACTCCGCCTTGAATATCCAGCTGATCATCATCACTCCACACCCTCACAATGGCCACCAATTTGTATAGCTGGAACAATGCCCTGTGGGACTACATTCCTGCGTATCACCTAACGGAAGAGATTGTGAATGGATTCCTTCAGGAGACATTTGGTTACTATGACTTTTATACCGAGGTATGACTTCCTTCATTCTTACGTATTCAATGAGTGTACTCCAGCTTCCAATTGGCTGTACCAAATACTGAGTTGATGTTTAGCTTTGAGTGAGAAAATTAGAGACACACTAACATTCTTTTTCAGATGTCCAGTGATCGGTACAAATTTTGGGTCCCGCAGGTTTTGTCTGAGGTAGGTCACACTTATAGCATGCACCCGCAAATGTGGATTGAGGCTGACACATGTGTAACTAGGGGCAGCGAGAGAGCCTTCTACGAAGAAGAATCCCAGACACTCCAGCAAGCGGTAGTGGCAGTTGAGCCGGACATGGCACGAGAACTTAAACTTATGGTGGCATGTAAACAAGCCTTTTGAAATGCTTTTTTGGTTTTCCAATTCCTGGGGGTTTATTAGAAGGCGAACATGCAATCGTTAGAGTTTTTGTAGTTCTTAGATCGTGGAGCCTTTCTTGATCGTCGACGTGGCAAGCTCATGCATAGGATGGGGGGTGTGGTGGCTTAACCCAGAGGTGGGTGGGTGCATGGAATCAATCCTTGGCATTCTTCATTATCGCCCGAAGAACTTGTCACCTGGGCTCTTTCTCACCGTGTCCTCTTTTGGCCTGATTATTAGTGAGGCTCTTTCATATTTTTGCAACGACGGATAAAACATATAAGCAATATACTCATGATTTAAATGACACTATTCGAGCTACTGCGCTTGTTCGGATTTTCAGAGTTTAGTCCATATCTTGAACTCAGTTCCAGGCATGCTACTTCCACTTTCAGGTGAGGAATTGCTTACGATTTCATGTCTGCAATCCTCATCGTTTCCTACAAATATCATCAATCCGGAATCTCAATTGCACCACTTGGAACGCTACTTCGACAGACTCCAGAAGCAGAAAGGGAGGCTCTTTGTTCAAGATGGCGAAGCGGCTGTTGACATTTTAGAATTTGATGATTGTGTTCAAGGTACGTTAGCGACACGATGAGATATACCTGCAAGTCTATGGTATATTGATCTTAAAACTCTTAGAATTTCAATCTACCTGCGTTTCGAATGTCTTCCAGTTGAATGGCCGACTTCAGGGGGGGAGCCAGCTATACGATCATGATGATCCAAGATGCAGATTCATGTAAGCCCCAATTTCCTCTCTAAGCTCTAAGCTGAACTTGAACGAACAGCTTCATCCACTCTCCTCATTCACGAGCACATCTCAAACTAAGCAAGGAAATGTTGGAATGTACCTTCACACACCATCAAGTAATGCCCGCCTTTTTAGACTTCGTTTTCCCATTTGGAGATCAAGAAAATATGCAAGACTTTCATTTCAGTGGATTTCGAGAGGGAATTCGGCTGCTTGTGTCGGATGAAGGGTTGAGTATTCCCTCGTTAGGTAGATCTGGCCGCGATGTCCGACTGTGTTATAATTTAAAATCAGTCGAAAGTTCAAACAGCAACCCCAAGATGCCTTGGTCTATTCGCCAAGTAGCTGTCTATCACTCATTTGATGTGGAGACAGGAAAATCGTTCTGGACTGTGATCAAAGGTAACCAGCTCCTAAAAAATCGGATTGAAGCTGCGACCGTCTCAGCGACAAGGAGTAAAGAAAGTTTGAAATCTTTCGAAACCACAGCTAGTTCATTTTCCTCGACTCTGGCCACGCACCTAGCTATCTGCGATTGGTGCGATGAGGAATGGCGCTGGTATCTTAACGACCTCGAGGAGAAACTTCGAAATGCAACGCTGAATTCTTTGGCAATACCAATAACAAAGAAGCCAACTCCAATTGCAGAACCGCCTCGACAAATCACCAAGCAGTCATCGCTGTCCGTTTTCCGGCAAATTTCAAATTTCACGAAAGCATCAAGAAATACAGGCTCATGGTCAACATGGTCTAGCAAGGGAAATCTGGACATGGAAAAGCAGCAATTCAAGCCCTCATTCCCACAACCGAGTGAGCCTATCTCAACTCCTGGCAGACCACCTCCACCTCCCAAGCTTCCTCCCGGTATGCCGGGGGCCATTCGGAATGATAAAGACCAGGATGATGACAGGTTTACATTTGGCGATTTTCAACAAGTTCAATATCTTGAAGAATGCGCAAACGAGGTCTTTCTAGTTCTTGAAGCAAATATTGATGTCTTGGAGGAATTGCGGGGCCATTACCAATCGATAATGGAGGACGACGACTTTCCCGAAGATATTAAAACTGGTTGTAAAAGAGAGTTTGCTCGTTTTGAAAAACGTGTTTCAAGTATCACTGTCGATCTGCGAAGGCAGCGATCCAGAACGCAGAACTTTCAACGTCTTCTTGGTGAGCGAAAAAGTCTTGTAAGTAACGACATTTCAATCCTAGTGCGCAGATTGCACATTTGCTAATATAATCTAGCTATATGGTATACTCAAGCATTGTAGCATCGAAGCAAGCAATGACCTTGCTATGAAATCTCAATTTTCGGCAAAGCGGATGGAAGATATGACTGAACAAATGCATGTTATTGCCCAGAAAACAAAAGAAGAAACCGTCTCTATGAGGATAATCACACTCGTAACATTGTTTTTTCTGCCGGGGACATTTATCTCAGTGAGCCTCCTATCTATCTCTTAAGCGTTGTAGCTTTCTTTGACGTCTATAGCTCAGGAAAATCTACTAACACTAAGACTAAACACGAAGACAATAATGAGCACTGATATCATCCATTTTCAAGCAGAATCTAAAACAAGTGGAAAGATTTTTCAACTTGGTGCATTGGAGCTGTATCTTGCGATTACTATCCCGCTTATGGCGGTTACTTTTGCGGCATGGTACCTGGTTTATCGCTGGTTGAACAGGAGAGGATGAGCAGAGAGTAGGATAGGAATGTAACACAATGAATGCCTTACAGCGCTGTCAAGACTGCCATCAGGAGGACTTTTAAATGCTTTAGTTATCCTGGGTCGAATAGATTTTTTGATTTAAAGTTTCTTTACAGACTTACGAGTTATAACATCACTAGCTAGATATAGACTAGAAGATGGCGATACGAATTTGACTTTATATATGTAGGATATGTTGGCCCCAACGATTCAACCTTCTCATCCCACCAGGCGGGATAAGAAGGTGGAAACTTTCCTATAGCCATCCTTTTAGTGATATATCTTCAATCTTGCTTTCTGATTTTTCTAGGCCTAATACTAACAAAGGAGCGCCAGAGAGCGTTCTAATAATTATCACAACTCGCAGGTATAAGCTTTCTAGCTTTCTAATGGATCAAATTTAGGAATTTTAAAGTAAGCTTAACTATTAAAGGTTTATGTCTATAGGTTGAAAGTGGTATAGACCTATAAAATATCACCTATCAGACTAATCATTAAGTGGAGATTTAAATCTAAGAGGACGAGTCAAAAAGGTGTCGTCTTCACGTTTAGATTCTTTATTATATTTTTTACCCTTCCACTCTGAGCTAGCACTCCTATCCAGCTCTCCAGTCCCATATTTCTTGCTTTCTTAACTCATTATAGATATCTTCATTCTCTAATCTTTCTGGCTGGCGTAGCTTTACTTTCCACTCCAGAGGGCAAAAGCTTGGAAGGATCCGAAGGATAGGAAGGTAGAAACGCTGGTTAGCTCAAACAGAGAAGTCTTGACAGCGCTAAACTTCCAGAGTATCTGAAATATTCAAGGAGTCTCTAGTGATCTCTTAGCTCGCCGACAGGCAAATGCGCTCCTAGGTGCACTAGCGTCCCGTGAAAGCAGGTGCGAGTCCCCCACAGATAAAATTGAGGGGAAGGGACACGAGGCCAAAAGTAGAGAAGAAGGCTTGTTGGGTACTCTGCTATTTACTTTCTATCGTCCGCCACGGCCTATATTATTCAGGTTAGCGATAACATTCGCGATGCACCTAGCAGCAATCATAGTATAACTGAACCGCGATTCAGTTCGTTCAACATCAACCCAAAATTCCAGACAGAAATTTCGCCCATATTCTGCCTGGTGTCGGAGTGAAAACCCCTGCTATTGTGGCTGAGCCATGAGCACTACGATGCAAGAGATGCAGCAGATTCAGCTGTTCTAATGCTCCACCCCACACCCCCTGCGGTCGATACTATACTGGCTCGCTTGGCTATGTACCCCTCCTTAGCTACTTTCTGTTTTCTTCTTCTTTCCATCTCCTCCTAGGCAGTGTCGCCGAAGATACCTATTCATATGCCCTGCTGCACCCAGCCCCGACGAGGCTCTCCGGCTATATCTTCCTAAAACAAGCCGACAATTTAAGGCTAGGAACTTTGCTGTTATGCTCACGCAAGGTTCCACTTCCCTGAACTCGTTCGTTCTGTTGTTGCTCAAACAACTGACATGTTGACCAAATGACAAGTCCACGAGGTCAACGCAACTACGAGAAAGTTATCCAAGGTTTCCAGTCCTGGATGAACCGACAACACACTTTGGAAGTCTTTGATCCCGAAAAATCCCCCGCTAGCACTCGCCCATTCATGGTAATGAACGATCTTCAGAACTATCTGACCGACAACAATAACCAGAAGCTAAACGGAATTATCGACGTGTTGTTTGACGATAGCGATGGGTTCATCCCAACAGATATCATCCCAGATTACGTGGCAGTCTTCTCAATTCTCCTGAAGATCAACAAAGGACCTTATATCAAGTACTTTACGCGCCACGGCTCTCTCAACGATGCAAAGCTACCATTTGACCCGAAAACCCCACCACAGCACTGGCCCGTAGGCGACAATCACTCAGACTTTTTGGAAAATTTCTGTAAACATCAATGGGCCTTCTGCGCCCCGCCATTACCTCCAGCTACTTCAGACCAGTATTTTGACTCCAAGACAGTCTTGCCGATCACCTTCAAAAAGACTCTTCAATCTGGCATCAGCGCAAACCTCTCGCTCATTCACGTCCACCCATGTTACAATAAACTGCTCCCAGAAAAAGAAAGAAGACAAGTAAGCCCAAAAAGGCTAGATTGATTCTGCGATTCTTCTAATACCTAGTAGGGTTTAGAAACTGCTGCGAGTCGATTCGTTCTTAAACAATATTCCACGAAAGATGCCGAGAGATACTATCAGACGGAAGTTGCTGCTTTCGGGAAGATGAGATCTAACCCCAACATTATAGGCTTCTATGGCAACTTCACCAGAGGAGACTCGTATAACATACTCCTTGAATATGCCGACGAGGGAACACTGGAGAGTTATTTCGAAAAACAAGCACCACCTAGGGACGGGGAGGAAGTCATAAAGTTCTGGGAACGTCTATTCAAGATGATTGATGCTTTGCGAGGAATACATGAAGTCGAGCCAACGACTGCGCGTGGACCCCAGATATTCCAAGGGCGAGCTTGATTTTGACACACCCAAAGTCAATCTGATACATCGCTAACGACCTGCTTAGGTGTCATCACGACGTGAAGCCGACGAATATTCTTGTTTTGAGCAACGGGTCCACGAACGCGCACGACTTCCAGTTCAAGCTTGCAGATCTCGGAATTAGCAATTTCAAGCCGAAGCAGAAACGTTCCATGACAACTTCCGAGTCTGGCACTCGCACATATGGTTGGTAGCTCCTATCTTTTATGAAGGGTAGTACGTGTAGCTGAATTCATACCTAGGTGCACCAGAACTTTACAGGCCAGCTGGCGCGCATAACCACAAACTTCCAATAGGCCCAGATGCTGACCTGTGGTCTCTCGGATGTATATTTAGCGAGGCAGGGCGATGGCTTGTAAATGGACATCATGGGGTATTGGAGTACCGCCGGGAACGCGCAGCCGAGACAAGTCAAATCGGTGACTTCAGAGACGGGGATTGTTTCCACAATGGGGTGTGCACTTTGAAATCGGTGGATAAATGCCACGAGAAGTGTGCCGATGGTCTCATCAGGAAAGACTTCATTACACAGAAAGTCTTCGAACACATGATTCCAGCAATGTTGGCGAGACCTGGCGAACGATTTACGGCTCGAAACCTGTACTTCATGGCAGATCGTCTCATTAAAAAGGCACGCGAAGACCTCCGGAAAGCTTCGAGTAGACCAAGGGACAGCCTGGCTGGTCCACCACCCCCACCACCACCACCAAAGCTACCGCCAGGTAAGAAATCGAGAACTGTAAATGAGCTTGAGATACCTACCTCATATTATCCTAGAGGCCCATTTCAATATTCCGAAGAAGGCGCAAATTTAGAACGACAATCCACTCTCCTCAATGAGATTAGGAGTAACAGTCCAGAATCCATGCTTGAATCGAGGGTCGCAACGAGAGACACCCTGAGAAGACCACAATCAACGACAGGAACTTCGAGCCTTGCAAATTCGGGCATGTCTCCCTTCTCTGAAAAGGTCACTTGGGAATCGTCAAAGATACGACCGGACGACGAACAGTATCGATCTCATCAGAGAACAGGGTCTCGGTCATCAACCCAGCACACAGCATCTTACCGTATACCACGTGGCATGCATCCTAGTAACCACTCAGACGACCCGCCTCCACGGAACGATGTCCTAGATGTTCAATCAGCAGGTGCGATGGCGGGAATGCTATCAAATCGGAAGCCGTTAAATCATCGAATTAGCACTGGAAACGAATATCGGCGGTCCCACAACTCGGACTCTGATGGTCTTTCGGCTGTAGAAGCCCCCAGTAATCCAGCAAAATCCCACGAGACTGCTTCTCATAGTCGGCCATTCAGTGCATTGTCAGATCGTCCAATCAAAGAAGTCTACAACCCACAGACTTCCGAAGCATCATCCGATAATGTTTGCCTTGACGAGCCTGGAGTGATCCCGAACAGGCTTCTGTCCCGCAGGGGCGGACGGAGACAAACAAAGACAGAATTTGGGAAAATAACACCACCTCCATCAAGGTCGCCGCCGCCCTCTCAGTCAATTAAAGATGTTTTGAAATGGAAAAAAGAGAGGAAAGAAGATAAATTTTGGACGCTATGGACGCGAGAGAAAAAGATGCCGCACTGGGATCTTTTAGAACGTGTCAAGGATCGTGATCACGTGCGCCCCCCTTTCCTTCAAGAGTGCTTTGCGCTAACCTTTTTAGGTGTTCTTGATTGATGATTCTGTTAGTATGAAGCCTCACTGGAACAAGAGCAATGATAGTCCAGGCGTTGTTGAAGTCTTTGAAGCTTTGTCATATTTAGTGAAGGAAACAGATGACGATGGCATTGACCTTCTCTTCACTGTCTCTGGAGATCGAGTCAGCGATCGGAAGTCAACGAAAAAGTTAGTACAACTCGTGAAGGAACGAGAACACAAAGGGGATACCGATATCAACTTGCGTTTGAATAGGCTATTCGAAGACTACAAAGCCGAATTTGAGAAGAAGAAGAGTCGCTTCAGCAAAGACCTCAAGAAAGTCAAACCGCTTAGCCTCTATATCTTAACCAATGGAGTTTGGGAAAAGGGTAGCGATCTCAGCGAGATCATTCGACTTCTCGTTAAAAGGTTAGAGGATATTGGAAAGACGAGAGAACAGGTTGGGATAGAATTCATCAGTTTCGGGGCTGATCCAGTCGGCCTTAGACGCATGAAATATCTCGATTTCGAGTTGAGTTTATCCATGTATGTGGTCTTCCACGCGTTTACATTCTCTCCGGATTCGAATAAGACTAACAGGATTATTTATTATAGGGACATCATTGACCATGAACCTTCCGACGGCAACGTCTGGAAAATGCTTCTCGGTTCTTTCAATAATACATGGGACAATGATGACGATCTCAAACGGCAAAGTCATTTGAGTCATAGAACTTTAGATGCCGACTCCGTAAATGACAAGCAGGTGTATGATACATGATTCGGTTTTTGGAATTTGGATACGATTTTATCATGCTGAACGATCCACGCATCACTTGTGCATTATGTTTCATACAAATTTTGCGATAGAAAATACGCTGGCGCATGTTTCATTGTTCTGCATGGCGTTTGCTTGGCTCCAATTTCTATACCAATTAGGCGTTTCAATGGCAGTGAGCATATAGATACCCTTTGATTATTCCATCCGGTTTCCGTTGGTTTTGTATACACATATCTTGGTGGTTCTTACATAAAGAAACGGGATCATTGTCAGTCTTCGGGGTAATTAGGTGTCGTAGACAGATGTTCGTTTACGAAATAAAGGTGATTATCTAGGGCTTGGAATTGAAAGTAGTTGAGATGTCAGAGGCTGTGTGGAAAAGTCTTACACTGTATATTATCTAGATATTAAGATGCTTCGCCTCCTATGGCTGTAACCAAATTCAAATCTTAGAACTGACTTTCATTTCTAACAGCCGGCCAGGAAGATAGCTGGACCAGGATGCCAACGGGACATGGCATCAATTTCACACTACTACACTACTGAGCATTCCCTCCACTAAGTCATTAGTAATTTAGATGCCTCAGCTCATCGTCATCTGACATAACAAGTTCAATATTCCTGGGTAGTCATAGCCTTTTCTTCGCTTATTCTCCCTGTACTTCATTTTCCCTCACCGTTTTCTAATAACTAATAATCTTAGAGTGGACGTTGAGTGCCTAGACCGTACCATGTAACTTATGTAAGCCAGACCAGGCAGCAGCACTTAAATAATATAGATGGTTGTGCTTCCTCGTTGCTTCCAGCGTTTTATAAACACCAGTTGTTTCTCTCTCTTTTACAGTCATCATCTACCATTGCCAAACAGCCAAGAATTTCCCCACGAACCCCAGAGCTCGGTTCTCACCTTGCCAGCTACGTAGCCCAGCCCCTGAATCTAGCGAGCCGCCACTAAACATTTAGCGCAACTTGCCCCGCGCTTCATGGGACGACCCTTCATCGCTTATCAGGAACCGACCCCAGCGACGCTCTTACTTTAAATCTTCCACAGGCAAAAATGGCCTTCCCACCAAACCTATACTGCCCTCTTTGCGGATGTCCATTTGAATACCACTCTGTTTACGATGCTAACACCGGATCGGCGCGTGTAGAAGGAGAATTGCTCGCTGTGTTGAAGAAAGCAGAGGTACGGAGTAATTAAAGCTTGCTCCTCACGAGACAGACATAGAGGGGTTATGATGAGTTAATAAAAGAGCGTCGGTCGACTCGACTAACAACTGGATACCTAGTGGCTTGAGAAGTACCGATTGATAGGTCGGGATAGCTCTCTCCCAGACTTCGCTGTGGATTCCTTGACATCTGAAAACGCGTATGTTGCACTACACACATGCATATATCCTTTGATTTTTTTTCCGTTTCGGGGCTGACATCTTTACAAAGACCCCAGAACCACTCAACCATTCCAGGATTCTTCATCTCGTCCCACGCAACCCCACCTTCAGGAGAAGACGGCTACATATTCCGCATCCCTACCGTGAACAGCGCAACAACAGCAGAATTCCGCGTCTTCAACAACAATGCCAACGGCGATGTGCTATTCCCAATCCACGACGCGTGCCTCGAGATCGCGGACCGTGTTGTGGCACACCAGGATAAACAGATGATGCGTAATGACGATGATGATAAAGCAATGAATATGACGATTGAAAGCGTGTATGAGGGGCTATGCGCGCAGCATGCGAGAAATATGCGCGATAGTGGGAATCAAGAATTCTGCTCCGTGGGGCTGGAGTGGGGGCATGAGTATTTCGGTGCTGGGGCGTTGCAGAGCGTGCTGGGTTGGAAGGCTGGTTGGAGTCCGGAGCCTGATGATGAGGTGAGTAAGTGAGAGTAGCGTGTGAATGAGAGGACGGTTATTTTTCTTTTTCTTTTTTTCTGTTTGGTTGTAAATATATTGACGCAATGCGTCCATAGGAGTACTGCGCCAATCCTTCCACCGCACCTGACCTCACGAGCTATATTTTAAGCTTTCTGTCTAAACGCGATGTAAACGGATCTCTAGCATCTCTGGATTTTCAGGGACTTGAGATAGCAGGCCCGGAATCGGGACATCCGAGTAGCAAAACATCGCGCCTCGATGGTTTGCCAGAAGAGATCTTGGTTCATATCACGTCGTATCTTTCAGTCACCTCAATCTTATCCCTCCGATTGCTCTCCAAGAAGCTGGCGGCGCGATATTATCCGGACCAGCGGTTTTGGCTCGAACATCTGCTTTCGGGCACTTTGGCGCCTCATGTTTGGGATCTTGATAGGAGAGAGTGTCTTGTAGAGGAGAATCGGAATGGATTTTCGAGGAATTGGAAGGCATTAGCGGAGCTGGTGGGAGGGAAGATATGGATGTTTGATGTTGTGAGTCTCGCGAGGGTTGCGCCCCCGCACCCCCCCCAGAAGCGGCCGAGGGCTGCACCCATAGAATTTAGGAACAGATGCAGGATTTGGAGACTTGTCGTGGAAGCATTGGAACATAGGGGCCAAGTCAAAATCCACCTGTGTTTGAATTGATTTGGGGGCTTTCAAGTACTGGCTAGTACGGCTTTTGTATAGCGTATCCTGCGATGGATTGACTTGGCAATATGACTATGCATCCAAGTTCAGGTGTCCAGCTGTCCTAAGCTTCTCAGGAGTTACATACATGACAAATTCAGATATGATCAAGATCCGAAAGAGCGCCAACTCCCTCTCTTCAGTCCTCTGCTAATCCCTTCTGACAGATCTTCTTATGAAAACCCCAATCCCTCTTCTGGTGAGCCTGCCCACAATACCGCTGCATCTTACACCTCGTGCAAGCATTTAGATTCATCTTCTCCTCACACCCCACAAACCCACACACTAGATTCTGATTCTGCGAGCTCATCACTATGGCAAAATCCGCATTGTCCGGACTCTTGATCTGATCCGCCAGGCGATCCGAAACCCGCGCAATGTACTGCCCGCCGTATTTCCTCTTCCACGCCTTCAGCTTCGGCACCAGGTCCTGGAGCTGAGGGTGCGGGGGACTGGGTAGATGTTCTTTGCGCAGTAGGATCGTGGACACGAATTGCAGCATGCTTGCGAAGTCCGCCTCGAATGATGCGCCGCCTACGCGGGCGCAGGCCTTCATTTCGGTGAGGATGTTAGGGTTGAGGAGCTTGGAGACGGTGTCGGCGAAGAGGGAGGGGTGCTTGGCGACGACGACGGCGGCATCGGGGTTGCTGGTTAGCCAGTTGATGAGGGTGAAGGCGTCAGAGCACCAGTATTGGGATGATGTGGGGTCGTGGAGATGTGGTGCATCGCTGTATTGGTACTCGAGGAGGGCGGGGAGGTATTGGGAGGCTACATGGGCCATGATGCGGATTTGGATTGGTAGAGGGGTCGGGGATTAGCTTTACTTCTTCGGGGAGATTTTTAGCAATAAATCAGGATCCATGAGAGCGTCCTACACCAAATTCACTGGAAAGAAGGCGTATGATCCAAGAAATGTTGCAAGATATAGAAAATATCAGCATCTGGATTAACTTACTCGTTGCAACACGCCTAATTGATTTCCCAAGGGGATAGGAAGTTCGGGAGGTAATTCTGGGTATTTAAGAGCTGCATAACCAATGCTATGCAAGGTCATGCCTTGAGGGTACAGGTTGGCGGCCATCTTGTTCTCGTAAATTTCAATGGGCTGTTGTTGATGTGAAGCTGAATAATTCGAACTTCAACTCCGTTTCGCAGACGCGTCTTAAGTGTCTCGGATAACGCGCTAGACGATATATCACGTGTCGCTGCAACTTGTGGGTCTGACGACCCTCTTTGTGTACTTTTTTGAATTGTATCTGCAATTACATTTTCAGTGTATAAAGTTATTATTGAAAGATACGGCTGATATTACTCCACATAAAAGTGTCCTTCTCAATCTGAAAGTTGGCCACGATGTGAAGGCTGCTTCTAGAGTCTTGTCACGCGATAAAGACCCAATGAGGAAGGAGTTGAGAAACTTTTGTTGCACGTCGGCAAAAATGGCTATTGTCAATTTCTGGATTGTCAATTTCTGACACGTGACCCAGATTATCCTTTGGGTTTCCTGTCACCTCTGCTGGCCGGCCTCAGGTTGAGCACATTATGCTTTTCAGTGTACTACTCGAATGAAACCATTTGAAATCTATGTCCCTGTCTTTTGTTGGATATGACCTGGCCTAGCCCAGTCTTCTTCGATCGAGTGAGTTGGAACGTAAAGAAGCCAAGGTACATAGACAGGCGGATCGACGTCAGGAGGCGTTGAGCCCGGGTAAGAAATTGTTGGTCGTAACTGAATCCTTCAAAGGGACTTGGTGTAGAGGCAATTCGTGGGTCGTGTAATAGCATTGAGAAGGCTGAAAACAAGACGATGTTGGGGGAGGTTTGACCGTGAGCTCGAGATGGTGGTGTTGTTTCCAAAGAGTCATTACGAAAACATGTCCACGCCAAGTAGCACCTGGGCGGGACTATAGTTAGAGAATTGGTTTATTGAATCAAGGATACCTGCTACCTACCCAGTGTTTGATAATGCGTGGAACAATATTCCTCCCCTGTTTCCATTTCTGTACAACATAAATTTATCATGCTCCTGTCCATAAGCGAGCGAGTCTCTAGCGTCTTTATCCATAACACAACAGACGCCAAGCTTTCTTTCTCAACGACACTTCTCTCTCAGACACCTCTCAATCGCATACTACTCCATAGAAGTACATCTTACAATACAGTTTCCGTCTGTATGGACTCCTTTCCCCGTCTCTTCTCATACTCTCCTGCTCCGTATGTTACTCAGCTCGGCTCTACAATTCCAGTAGCCGCAGTCCCCTATGTCAACAACCCCTTTCAAACCAAAGATCTATAGCGAATCTCGATGTCGAATTACCATGGAACTGGCTGATTCACAAGTTAGAGCTACTCACTGCCCAGATCAAGCGCCCTGATCTCGCATGACCCAAGCGACGTCTGCGCTACATGTCTTGAGGTAGGGAAGGGCTGAGCCACCTGCAAGCTTGAGGAAAATGTCATGAGCCTCGGGAGATGCCATTGTGTGTCTTATATGAGCTCATGTCTCGATTCTCTACAGCTTCGAGCTTCACAATTCCGTATAGGTCACGTATTTGATTCCTACTTACCAACCGGTTCCCTCAAACGTTCACAGATTTTCTGGTCATTGAAAATACAACCTATGTTGCATTAAAGAGTCCTCAAGCTCCTTTCTTCAATTGTCATTATAGAGGTCTTGCAATTGGCAGATTTGGCCAGCTGCTTTGCTTCGTCACGATACCGTTGAAAGTTTGGTGCCCTGCCCTAGTACGGCTGTGCCCGGAATCCCCACCAAGATCCGATCTAAATCTATCTTAATTATTTCCTCATATTCATTCCCCATCTTACTATACCTATATCAATGATCTACAAGATAGAAAGCCAACAACGAACGAAAGCATAATAGGAACCTCTCTCTCACTTCCCTTCGGAAGGGGAAAAGGGAGAAGGCAGAGTAGGTTCTACGGGCACGGGCGCACCATTAACTTCAATGGAGGGATAGGTTGAATAAAGGTGTGCGGATTGATCAGGGATTATATTTAAGCGGAATATATTCTGAGTGCTGGAACTTTTCCATAGGTGTCCAGAGGAAAGGGGATCTAGCTACAGCGCCAAGAGCAAGATGGGAGAGGAGAATAGTTTTCTCGGCACGTCGATGAGAACACCATGCCAGTGCAAATCACGAGTCACAGTTCAAGTGGCAAAGACAGTCAGTTTTGTTTGTTTGAGTTTTGTTTGATTGTTTGATTTGATTCCTATCCACTCTCCTGTCCTGACTAGACAATGAATCAGCCCCCAAAGTCCTGTCCAAGCACCTGTCCTGACTTGACAACCCCAGATTTCCGAGAGGCACCGTTAAACTCCCTGTGGAAGAAGGTATGCTCTCATCCCCTGTCCTGACTTGACAATGTTTCCTCCCAGCCCAGACTCTCACTTCCAAGCCCCGTCTCCGATCTCTGTTTCCAACCTCTGCGCACATCCAAGCTCCGTTTCCTCCACACATCCCTGCAAAGCGTGTCCCAATTCGATGAGGTGAAGTCGAAGTTGTTGTCAATGAGTTGAGGTGTTTCTAGGAGTCTGTGCAAATTAGCACAATGTGTTCTTGTAAAAAACGCAAACCAAATTGCAGCAAATCGCTTGCGTCCTCCCATCCCTTCGAGTCCGAGCTCAACCTTCAAAAGGTCTACGATTTTTGTTTTTTCAGACGTGTGCCTGTTCTCTGTTCCTGAGTTGTCGCCATTTGATGCATCCGAGCTCAACCTTCAAAAAGGTATACAATTTTTGTTTTTGCCCTCATGTTTGTTCCCTGTGTTGTCGCCATTTGGCGCATCCGAGCTCAACCTTCAAAAGGTATACGATTTTTGTTTTTGCCCACGTGTATTTCCCATGTTGCCGAATGTCCGGGATGGCGAAAAGCAAATGTCGAATCAAGCCCAAGATCCACCCCGCGTCCTTACTTGGCGAAAAGTAGGAATTGAGGTAGATGTTTAGTATGAAAGCAACCTAAAAACAAAAACAGCAACGCGAAGTAAACAATAACAGCAAAACAATAGGGTACTTGCCTGACTTGTTAGTCATGGAAGTTGGTGTTGTGTCGAAACTAGAAGATGGTTAGCGAAGACTCAGTGAAAGATGGCTGATGAAGAAGCATTGGATGAAGAAGAAAGGAGAACGAAACAAAAGTGGAGCGAAGGAAATGGGCGACGACAAGGTTGAGCGACAATGAGATTGAACGGTGGCAAAGTCCAGGACAGCGACCACACTGGACGACTTTGTCACAAGGAAAGGCAAAAGCAGAAGAGGGCAAGATACCATGCATAAAAAACTCGTTTCTGCGACACGGAGAAAAGAAGGAAGCCCCAGCCCAACTAGGGCTTAGGTCAAAGAGCGAAGGTGCACGTGATGTGCCCCCCTTTTCGCTTAATGTTTGTGAAGGAAACAAAATAATCAACAATGACGGCATGCGAAATGAAATCCCCCAAGGAAAAAACCTTTCCAAGAAGAGTGCACACTCGCAATTGCTCAACTTGAGGGATTGCGATAATGCGACGATCAAAAATGGACGAAAAAACAATGCGATGCAAATGCAGATGTGATGAGGAAAATGGGGAGCACTTACTTTTTGGATCGCTCGTGGCGATGTCTCTTGTCGTGGTTGGTGGTGTGTCGACATGGCGACGTTGAGGTGGTGAGGATGGGAAGTGGCGTTGTTGATGAGGTTGTTGATGTTGTCGTGCAAAAAAGTTTTTGAAAGAAGGAAGAAAAGTTTATGTAGAAGGAAGGAAAGTTTTGAGGACAGAGGAGGGGACGACCAATACTTATACCTCCAAGGGAGGGGGTTAGGCTAGTCCAAGTCGCAGTCGACGCTTCTAAGATTTTCAACTCTAACGTTAGTTGTGCAGCGCCAGTTTACCTTTTGATCAAGTTTTTCTTTGTTTTGTTGACGGCGTCGACGCGACGATGCGCTAAAAGCTGGACCAGAGCAATTAGCGTGCGAGTATATCCTCATTGTTTACTAAAGCTGAGCTATAGCGATCTAGCCATGCTAGTATATCCTCATTGTTTACTAGCAATCGGAACAAAATAGAGGAGGCTGGGAGAGTAAGCAAATATCACGACACTAGACGCCTGAATTTTGGAACCAGCGATCCGCTAAGCTGAGCCAGTGCGACCTGGCGTGCAAGTATATCCTCGTTATTTACTACCGGTCGGAACAAAAAAGAGGAGGCTGGGGGGAATGAGCCAATATTCTGTCATCTGACGCCTGCCCAGGTGAACTCTGGAACCAGCGATCCGCTAAACGCTGAGCCAGTGTGGTCTGGCCTGCAAGTATATACTCATTGTTTACTAGGGATCGGAAAAAATAGATGAGGTTGGGGGAATGAGCAAATATCACGGCACCAGACACCTGAACTTTGGAACCGACGATGATTGAACGGCTAGCTCATGGGGACAGGAAGTGGCCTTCACCCAGGCTACCCAATAGTTTATTCAGCAATGAGCACGACTTGAAGAGCGATGATCACACGGCGGCGACAACAAGATAGAAGAACTGGTCTTGAGTTTGGCTAAGGATTATTTGCTTACCTCAACTTGACCAGCGACGATCACACGCCTCCTTTAGGAGGGAAGCGTGGTTTTGAATTTGGCTACTCAACACCGCCTTCCGAATGATTTGGACAGCGATGGTCACACGGAGACTTGGGCGGAAGACACTAAGTTCAAGTTTTCACTGGGGAGCACATTGGTTATGATGATTGCATCCGAGTCATGAGACGGCAACACAGGACGAATATGAAGAACTTGAATTTGGCTTCGGGGCATGTCCTCAGGACTGGCTTGAGAAAAGATGATCGATCACACGGCAGTGGGGGTGCAAGTAGCCAACGTGCGTTTGCCTATGGAATAGGGTCAACAAACAATGCTGAAATGGAAAGAGCCCTCCAGTGGAAGTGCGATCTTCGTGGAATCACTCAGTGTTGGAAGCTGTGATAGGCCAACAGGGAGAAGCCAGATATCGCCATTCCCAAATGATTTCGTCCTAATCATCTCGAGTCTCTTCCTCTACCAACAACAACCCACACTTTATGTACCTTGACACCTGGAATAGCCTGCAGTCGCTATCACTTGAGCCGCTATAAAGCCTGCAGTGTGAATTGCATGCGTTGTTCTTCCCACGATCAGTCCCTACTCTCCCTGCGGTTTCATTGCTGACACTGTCTCACAGCTCCTCAGCTCTTCAGACAGCAAATCGTGCAAACAGCTATTGTCCATCAAGCGTTACCGCAGCTAGTCTTCTCCCATCCCTACTATTCCGTCGACACGCACACCCGACGGCTGCTTTCTACTGCGTTGAAAGACATACAACCATATCGAGGAGGTAGCCAATATACAAATTCCGAAGCTACCGGTGTTTATATCGATTCTAGCAGATAAAAGCAAGGCGGTGAATAGAAGCATGCCGGACTAAAACGCAAATTTCAAAATTTCCATGACCCACTTGTTTTCAGGTTTTAATGCAGAGATTGGACATCGACTCGAGTGAATTTGGTTGTGTATATATACAAGTAGATTCTCAAGTATACACGTCTCTCAAGTACAGCATATTGGAAGAGTTACATTCTTCCCTCTACGCTACGGGGTTAGCTTTCGCACACCTTTCCTAAGGCGCATCTGCCTTGTCCCAAGAACTTGGGAAATTCACTAGCTCGGTTGATTCGTCAAGAAAAAATAACTGAAACTGGCGACATGAATATGCAAGATCAACAGCAAGACCCCGTGTCTGTTGCAAACGTCGAGAAGCAACATCCATCAGGCTACGACTTTCCAATTCAAGCTGCAGGACTGGAAGAGAAAGATCCAAATATCATTGATTGGGATGGCGACAATGACCCGGAAAATCCCCGCAACTGGCCAACTAGGAAGAAGTGGACAAACGCAGGTCTACTATCTGCAATGACTTTTGTCACGTAAGTCCTGCTTATCCCGAGTTGACCTATTACTCACTCTAAACAGCCCGCTTGCCTCATTCATGTTTGCACCAGACGTCGAACTCGTCTTCCATGAATTCCACTCTACCAATTCCTTTCTCGCAGCACTCGTTCTCTCCATATACGTGTTTGGATATTCAGTTGGCCCGCTGATCGCAGCACCACTTTCAGAATTATATGGACGCGTGCCGGTATACCATGTCTCGAACTTCCTCTTCGTGGTCCTCACAATTGCATGCGCGGCTAGCAGCAACCTGAATATGCTGATCGTGTTTCGGTTCTTGGCTGGTGCTGGCGGCTCAACGGCCGTTACAATTGGAGGGGGGACCTTTGGGGATCTATTCAAGGCCGAGGAGCGTGGTGCGGCAATTTCGATTTGGACGATGGGTCCGATAGTTGGCCCTGTGATTGGACCTGTGTGTGGGGGGTTTCTTGCACAAGCTATGGGGTGGAGATGGGTGTTTTGGCTGCTGAGTATTCTTGTGAGTTCATCGTCATCTTTCTTTCAACCAGCTGCCTACAATACCTAACATGTTCCAGGGTGGTGTCCTTACGATCGCAATGCTCATCTTCCTGAAAGAAACCTATCCCGTCATTCTCCTCGAGCGAAAAGCAGCGCGCCTTCGAAAAAGCACCGGAAATCCCAACCTCAAATCCTACCTCGCCTTGGAAATCTCCCCATCCGAGCTCTTTAAACGAACAATCTCCCGCCCGATCAAGATGTTCATCTCCCCTATTGTTCTCCTCCTCTCCATATACACGGCGTTCGTCTACGGCATACTGTATCTACTTCTCACAACGCTAACCCAAGTCTTTACGCAGACCTATGGCTTCTCACGCGGAATCGCCGGGCTTTCGTATCTCGGTTTGGGGATTGGCATGATTGTTGGGCTGGTGGGGTTTAGCCTTACGAGCGATAGACGGATGCAACGACTGGCTGCTGGAAATGGTGGGGTCATGAAACCAGAGTATCGGTTCCCGCCGATGATTCCAGCGAGTGTGCTGATTCCTACTGGGTTGTTTGTTTATGGATGGACGGCTCAATATGCGGTTCATTGGATTGTGCCGATTATGGGGATGGGCTTGCGGGTTTGGGGATTATGGGGATCAATGTACGTTCGTTCATACAACTCATTGAACGGGATCTGATTTCTGGTAATCAATCAGTGCTAACGAGCTTGTCAACGTTCTTAGATGCCCATTTCAGCATACCTCATCGATGCCTTCACCATCCACTCAGCATCCGCTCTGGCCGCGAACACGATTCTCCGCTCTCTATTCGGAGCCCTCCTGCCGCTAGCTGGACCGGCGCTGTATGGGAGTTTGGGATTGGGATGGGGGAACTCGTTGTTGGCCTTTATTGCTATTGGGATGATTCCTATTCCGGTGCTGTTTTGGAGGTTTGGGGAGGTTTTGAGGATGAGGATTAGTGGGCTTTAAGGGGGTATGGCCCGGGAAAAATGGCGGGAAGAAGAAGAAAGAGCTGTTGTTTGGATTAGTCCAGAATCACGACATGGATGAAGAGGAACTCCAAGATCTCGTTGCCGAAAAAGGCAAAGGGCTGATTTCCTACTGTATGGTGCTCCTAGTGTTGGAAAGACGTCTACCGGTAAGACTCGTCCGTGTCTTGATCTACAAAGGGTGTGATTGGCTGGCAGGGTTGCCAGGGAGTGCGCTACTGGTAAAGGGTGGGGACATACCACCGTAAAAGACCAAATGTGGGTCTGATTTATGAGATAAATGAAGCATCCAGTTCTGTAACAAGAGATGTTGGAAGTGGCCGCCAGCAAGAGATACCGAGGTTCTGGCAGCCCGAGCACGGGCTTTGTTTGTCGTGCTTCGCTTGGCAATTAAAATACCTACACCTACATAGACATAGACATGAGTCGCAGCTTTTGAGTCGCGGCATCTCCTTTAACATCATGGAGGATGCGGTCCGTCCATGAGCAGGCGTTTAAGGCTATGTACGAGAGAGGTTATTGCACTTGGTTTAGTCTTTACGAGATGACAATTGCAGATACTAAAACCCATCTTCCATGGGATTGTCTCTTTCAGCTTGAGAATGCATTTCTCGACCACCCTTCTTTCCCAGAAAACCTTGCGGTAGACGCGTCATTTTCGAATACTGTCCTTGCAAAAGGGATATCTACATGGAGAACCGCGCAGGAAGCCTCTGATTTACCGTCCTTTGAGCAAGAATTCTTTATACCGGTTGCGTCAGATTGTCCCACGATTCTTGCTATCGCAGACCCGCAACAGTCTGCATTCATGCTCCCGTGATGCTTTAGTGAGGGCGATAACCATATTACTTTGCTTATACTTGCCTGGACCTATATACTTTCTGCACGATGGGCTGAGATTATTCCCGGGGCATCTGGCCCTGAATACAGCGATTGCGAGGCCGAATGGGATGACAAAAACATCCCATTTGAAAGGGCCCCGACTGGTTCCACTACAGCGATTATAGATCTAGGTGATATTGATGATGACGCCGCTCGGTGGTGGGCAGCGGTCCTCGCACTGGAAGGGGGTTGGAATGCATATATTTCAAGTGAAAAAGGTCATGTCCTCCACTCACCCTGGTATACGAAGCTTGTATCAGAACAACGCTTTACTCTTTCACGCGGCACGAAATCTCGCCCCCTTCTAGCTCAACATCGTGCGGCATCATTTGCCACCGCCTTGCGCTATCTTTCTAGCTACTGCGAATTCCACGAAGTAGCTGAGCAGAGCCATGCTGCTTTGGCTGCGACATTACTTCTCCCTGTGGCCAGATTCGACAACAGAACGGTTCAATTACCGACCCCTCGAGTCCGCCGTAAAGCACGATTCAACAAGGAGAGATTCAACAAGGAGACGGTCTGCAAGACCCTGGAATGGAGCGAGAACCTCAACCAACTGGACGGGCTCCTCACTCTAAGTTGCAATGCAGTAGGAACCAAAGCGCTCTTAAACAGCGTCTTCTTTGAACCTGAAGTGGCATGTAATATCTGCGGGGCATGGTTGCAAGGGACCTTTGCATTTCTCGACTCAGATATCGTGCAGGACCAGCATATCCTGCTACGTGTCTTGATGAAGCGGGATCCTAGCCTGGGATTTCTCTGGCTTGGTGCCTTTGTTATCGGAGCACAGACACGTTCCTTGCAAGAAGCTCGTCAGGCTTGGTGGAAAATTGACCTTCATGTGGCAGCATGGACCGGAACGCTTATGTCTTTTATACAAGAGCCTGTGTCAACACTGGCCCCTGAGACAGAAGAAATCTCGCGTGCTGACGAATGTCGACTGCTGTACTTGTCCCACGATCAATACTACACTGGTCCCCCGCTCTTTCCATTCGCTCCATTCGGTTCTACAGCGATAATAGACACTAATATCGACGTTCGTCAACATACACAATGTGAGACAAGTCACGGCCTCGAATATAAAGGTTTAACCTGGCGCTGTCGTGCTGGCCAGCGCGTAGCTACTACTATTGCTAGAATTCCCTTACGCGCTAAGAATGGGCAGCCAACAGACGGCAATATCTCCGTCACTTATGATAATATCGATAATGAGGATGATGACTGTTCAGAAATGGTAACTAGGAACATTTTCACTTGGCTGCGCGATGAGGACGGCTTCTCTGTTGCAGAGAGGGCTATTCGTGAACACGAGTGGATAGACAATTTTGACTCGGACGATGACAGCCCGATTACAGGCGATGCCCAATCTACAGTAGGAGGCAATCTGCATGGATGGCTGTTGAAGACAATAACTAGACGGTCCAATTCTCTCTAACGGGTAATGGAGGAGTGCGAGGTCCACTATCACGGCACATGATGGTAGGGGAGCGATGGAAGGGGCTGTCAGGAAATTCTTGAAGAGGGGGTTCGGTCGACAGATGACTATGTAACAAATGCCAGAATAAAATTCGTTTGATGTGGAAAGTGCTGATTAGTTCTATATTACAGAATTCCCTGCAAACTGTGCACACAGATCTGCGCTATGATCAACCACTTTAGTCAAGCCGCCATGGCTCATTCTCCCGTGATATGAAGTAACTGGATAATAACCTTCGGCACCAATATTGTGAAGCAGAATGATAACCCGAACTGGATTCACGGCAGCGATCAGGCCCCGCGGCTGTGGAATGGAATGATTGCCAAGATCAATTTCTTGCTCATAGGCAACTGGCAGCAAGCGTCACATATCGCAGTCCACAAGAGTACAGAGGAGACAAATTTGCAAGTCCAATATCTTTTAGCTTACATCGCTCGATCCCCCCGTGCTAATAAATCCTGTCTGCTGGTGACGACAAGACACACACTCTTCCTGAAGCCCTGTTGGTATGATGCGCAGAAATAACTACATCTTATGCCATATTCAGTCCTCGCTCGCGCCATGATGAACTCAAATTCAACGACTCCGCACTCTACAACTACTGCTGTACCCGATAAATAACTACATCTTATGCCTCAGCATAGACTTAAAAACACTCCGCCCATTCTCAAGCGTGCTTCTCCTTCCTTCTAGGTGCTCTCTCTGACGGACGGTTGTTAACGGTTCAGAGGCGAGATTCGATACTTCTTCGTCATCAAACGCTATAACCACAAGGGGCGAAAGGACCTCCTCTAGCCCATGGATACTAATATTTGTATATATTTTCTTTAAATCTTAATCCCCCTTTCCAGATTCCTTTCCGGGTCAGGAGTCCGCTTTAAAGTTAGCAGATTCCACCTGCCCTTCAACGAAAGAACCTCACCATGGGTTTTTGGGCCAGCGGATAGTACATATTTGTTTGCATTAGCCAGACAACGCCTTATTCCAAATCCCCTCACCTCACGGAAAGCAAGCACCAGATAAAAGACCTACCTCTCGATTCACAGGCGCAGAAACGATATATCACGCACGCAATGCCTTGAGCGCGCTGGGCAGATTACGGCGCAGTTCACAAAAAGCCGCGACAGATACTGCTGCTGCTAAGGTAGCAACTGCAGGATCCCGGATAGCTTTCAAGTCTCCCTGTAGCCTTGCATGCCCACGAAGCGATTGATTCGGAGCCAACTTAGTTGAAGAAGCCTTGATGAGCCTGTAAGAGGCGAGGTATGCTGAACAAGAAGACGATATCGGTGCTCGGAGATAGATCGTCTTGTGATTAACTGACGATCAAACGAGTGTGGGGAAAGAAAGGGAGATAAATGCTGCATTGCTGCCTCGACGATGACAGGGTCGCTATATCGCATGCGCATGCAACCTGCATCATGGGATACTTTGCATACCAGGCAGGCTGATCACCAAGCCAGGATAAAGTGTGGCTTTACAAAGAATATGTCAACTTGAATGCGGATATTATATGCCCTGGTCAGCTTTCAGCGCTTACTCAATATATTCTGGGGGATTTCGAAAAATATCCGGATACCCTAAGTATTCCGGGTAACTGCTTATGATGAGGATATGGTATTGATTGATAGTAGAAGTGGTTGCGTAATAGGAGTGATTAATTTATAAACGGTTTATAGATTCGGATAGGGCTTAGTTTCCCTCTGATCTGTGAACAAATCATGCTGTACGGAGGATTGTCTATCAATCGATCTATCATACCAAACCCTCAAACCCAACTGATCAAGTCTAGATAATTAGAGCTCCACAGTCGCAATACCCATCTCACCCTTCGCATTCCGATCCGCCGTCTCCTTCTCCACCTTCCTTAGAGGCCGATAAACCGGATCCCACATCTGCTCCCTAATCCACTCCTCCAGCTCCCCATGCTCATCACTCGGAATGCCCTCTTCCTGCGCCAACCCCTCTTCCACCGCCTGTACGATGACCGCTCGCGCAATATGCACGCTGATGTCCCGCACGTTTACCACGTCAGGAAGCAGCCCCTTATTGGGATCCTTCAGCGCCGGGCTCTGTGCCGCGAGTGCTTTGACGGCCGCGACGAGCATCTTGTCGCTGAGGAGCTTGGTACGGGAGAGTACGCAGCCGAGGCCGATGCCCGGGAAGCAGGTCGAGTTGTTGCACTCGGCGACCTCGTATTCCCGGCCGTTGTACGTGACGGGTGGGAAGGGACTGCCGGTTGCGATGAGCGCTTTGCCCTGCGTCCATTCGTTGATGTCTTTTGGATCGGCTTCGTGCAGGCGCGTGGGGTTGGAGAGGGGGAAGATGATGGGGCGGGGGACATGGGAGGCCATTTCGGTGATGATGGGCTGGGTGAAGGCTTTTGGTTGCGTGGAGGTGCCGATTAGGACGTGCGGTTTTACCGTGCGGATTACGGAGTGCAGGTCTGTGTCTGAGGAAGGGTAGTCGGTACGGGCGTAGGGAATTTGGGCCGGGGTGAGCTTGTCCTTGTGGGATTTAAGAAGGAGGCCGGGTTTATCTACACACCTGGGAGATAATTTATTAGCTTGGGAGGGGAGGGATGAACAAGGGGAGAGGGTACCAGATTTGCTTTGCGGCTTCTTCTTTGGATTTCCCACTGTCCGCAGCGATCGCGTCTCGTACTTGGTCTGCAATTCCTGTTCCTGCGGTACCGGAGCCGAAGATTACCATTCGCATGTCTTCCAGCTTGAGCTTGCTGACGTGCAGACCGGCCATGATTGCTGCGAGGGTGACGCAACCTGTTCCTTGGACATCGTCGTTGAAGCATGGAATGGAGGGTCGGTAGCGATCGAGGATTCTTCGAGCTGGAAGGATGGTGTTAGTCAATGAATGCTTGCCTGACGTCTTATGATGATTTATTTACCGTTGGGCAACCCAAAGTCTTCGAAATGGATGTACGCTCGAGGATATAGCTTCCGCGCAGATTGTACAAAGGTATCGACAAACTTATCATAGTCCTCGCCACGTGCTCTAGGTTTCTTTAGACCCAAGTAAAGATCGTCATTGAGGAGTTCCTCGTTGTCAGTGCCGCAGTCAAGAACAACGGGAAGCGTCCTGTTGGGATGGATGCCAGCACAGAGTGTTGTTAAGACCAATTTGGCGACTGAGATGAGAATGCCACCAACTCCTTGGTCGCCAATTCCAAGAATCTCCTCTCCATCTATGAATGGTCAGCACAGACAATAGGTATTAGACAAGGTTGCTCACCAGTCACTACAATGTAATCGATATCCTCGGGTCTGCCCCACTGAGCGAGATCATCATGAACTCGATCGATATCGTTGATGTTGAGAAAGCAGCCGTCTGGTTTTCGGAATAGTCTTGAGTAATTCTGGATGGCGTCTCCTTCTGTAGGCGTATAGATGACGGAGAACATTTCTTTTAGATGGTCTTGAATCAACTAGGTGGAGTGAGTAGAGCATCCCAATATGAAAACAAGATTACGAAAGAGGATAATCAGGAAGCATAAGTGATGTCTAGACTGCAGAAAGGAAACACGGGCACTGAGCTACCCCCAAGACCTCTTTTGAGCTACATTGAGCTACAACGCTTTCGATAGATAATGCACGTGATGGGAGTATTCACGTGAGCATCATCAACGAAGCAAAGACAAGAGCGCCCGAGATACAGGATATCTCTGATAAGAAAAAGAAAGCTTCCACACCACAGAAGCTCAAAGTAGAAAGCCCCTCACCTTAAAATAAAGCACCTCATTCTGCTCGGCCAGACTCGTCATGAAGGTATTCTTGGCCAGATCATCCTTGCGCGTAGAATACTGCTCATAAGCTCTCTTGCACTGCTGATCGAGGGTCTGGACATTCTGCGGTAGCAAGCCCGTCAAATTGAACTCCCTCCTCTCTTCGGGAGGGAATCCGGCTCCCTTGTTGAGGTAGGCGGTGTTGAGGAGTGCCGCGCCGGTCAGGGCGCAGTCTTGCGGGCCCGAGGTGCTGAGAGGGAGGTGGCCGAATTGCGGGTGCTTGGCATGAGGGTTGTTTTGTTTGTGGTGGGAGGACATTGTTGTTTTGCTTCTTACCGGTGTGGTCTTGGGGTTGGTGTTGAGGAAGAGCCGAGGGAACTGGTTGATTAGAAAGCGAGGTGTTGTTGTTGTTATTGTTGATCGGGGTCGTATTGCCATGAAAGAAAGAGCACGTTTGGAAGAGGCGCGGACTGGGCAAGATGTGATGGGGAATTTAGGAATATATACCTACCGTCTTTGTATAATAATAATATTCAGCATGTTCCGCCTCAAGTTAAGTTAAGTCAAGTCAAGTCAAGTCAAACAAGTGAGTGGGGTGCACGCAATGACGTTGCTCAGCCATTAACCACTACTGTACGCTATAGAACAAGGTGGGTGGGGCCAAGGAAAAGGAAAGGCTTGCACGGAGAGTCCCAGAGCCTATTCCACACGAAAAAAGTCTAGGATTATACAGAAATAGACAACTTTCTCACTCCTATAAGGCCAGCAAAGAAGATATCCATTATCTACCTAGGTAGCCTTGCTGTTATGAGAGATTGTCTTACGATTAATGGTTGGCAGAAGGAAAATCCCACTCAACATTTGGACTTTGGGCATGGAAACCACATCTGAGCACCAGTGTTGACTCAACTCTCTATTAAGAGGCATCAAGTCGACTTGGTTACAATCCAATGCTGTGTAACGTTTTTCCATCCTCGTGGCACTTATGCAGATAGATGTTGGTACGCAAGGAGCCACACTCTCGTAGAAGTCTCGTAAAGAGTGAGAGTATGGACTATGAAGGTCCGTTTGGTCTTGCAACATTCCTCTCTGAGGATATAATCCCGAAGAACCATATCCCTTCTCAATCTCCATCCGGCTTCCACACAAGACGCGCAGAATCCGGAAGGCCCTCCGAAGAAGGTCTCATCTGTATTGCCGCGAAGGCTGAGTGATTGATCAAAGTATTGCTATGAAATGAGGGGAAGAAATAAGATATATACTAAACCTTCGCCTCTATTGCACACTGAATAGGATGCACTTCCAAGTGTTTAATTGATAGTCATGAATTTCTGAGGTATCGAATTGGATGTTTAAAGTGAAGAAAATTCAGGTGCACACGACACGCTATTAACAAACACAGATCTGCAGCACGGACCATAATCTGCTGAGTCATCCACGCTAATCCCAAAACTCCGCTTGAACCTCTTCGCCAACCTCAAGTCCTTGTCGTGCCAGATTCAACAACATCAACAGTTCGACAGCTAATCTGTCCATCAATCGGCGCAATGGTTGGCAAGAAAAAGCGTGGTCATCCGGATGTTGAGGAGCTTCTCTCACGACCGTGGTGTTATTACTGTGAGCTCTCCCTCCCTGTCTGCTTAATTCTTTTCTAACGAGTCACCAAGGTGAGCGCGATTTCGATGATCTCAAGATTCTCATCTCCCATCAGAAAGCTAAGCATTTCAAATGCGAACGATGTGGTCGAAGATTAAATACTGCTGGTGGTAAGTTTTTTATCTTGCCCTTTCCTTCGCGTCACGGACCAACTAACTCGTCGCAGGACTCTCTGTCCACATGAATCAAGTACATAAAGAGACTCTCACGATGGTCGATAACTCACTGCCGAACAGACAGGGACTCGAGGTGGAGATCTTTGGTATGGAAGGCATTCCGGAGGATGTTTCCCAAGCACATAATCAACGCATCATTGCAGGTTTCTACCAAGCCGAAGCTGAACGACGAGCCACCACTGGCAACCCTGGCCCAGGTGGGAATCAAGGCAATCAATCCAAGAAGCTGAAATTCGAATCACCCACGGACCTGAAAAAGCGGTTGGCAGAACACAAGGCACGAAAGGAGGCGGAGAAGGCTGGTACAAGCAGTGGTGGTAATACTCCCATGGTAGAAGGTGTACAAAACAGTCCTCTTGGTCAGAGCCCAAGCTCATTTGTAAGATTTCCTGTCGACCCGACACATGCTCTCAAATTAACAACCTTGCAGAATAATGCCTCGCCCTATATTGCTCCTCAAGCCACTCATGGCGCTTCACAAGGTGCGGGTTATGGATCATTCTCACAAGAGCCGTATTCTCAACCGGCAGCAGCTTACCAACAGCCATATGCATCCCAACCACCATTTTCCGGTCCACCTGGCGCTCAGTTTCAACCTCAATACTCACCACCTCAACAGTATCCACCTTCCCAATCATTTCCACCTCCGGGGTTCCAACCACCTGGGCAGAACTATCCAGGCGGTCCACCATCATTCGGAGCCGGCTCACCACCGCCAGGATCGTTCAACGGGTATCATGGGCCACCTTCTAATACACCACCTGCTCATGGCGGTCTCCCAAATCGACCGCCTAGTCTCCCACCCGCTCCTGGTCTTCCCCAACGACCTTCATTGGGTGCGCCACAAGTTCCACCTTATCAAATGCAGCAGCTGCATCAGGGTCCACCAGGAACTTCTTTCCCTGGTCAACAGGGTAGTTGGGCAGGCAATAGTTGGAAAGGTCAAGATCAGAAACCAGCTATGTCATCAACTTATCCTCATTCACAAGGCTACGGAGATTACTCGACTAACGCTTCCTCGGTGGATGACCTGGTTTCAGGCGCTGCACGAGAGGCTGATGACATTGACGAGATAATCAGAATGGCCGAGGCAGGCATCAAACCTCCGAAGAAGGGTGAAGTCGCAGCCTCTCCTGTACAAGCTATTGAGGCAGAGGCCAAGGCAGAAGTCACGTCAACTTTCGTCCCCGAATTCGCCGAAATTGGCGACAAGTCTGAACCAACCCAAAAGAAGTCGAAGAAAGATAAGCCCCAAAAGATGATTTATTCCGACAATGAAATGAGCCCAGAGGAGAAAATGGCGCTGATGCCAAGGTACGCATTCGTCCCTGATGGAAAGACTGAAACATCACTTGTCGATGCAGCAACAATTCCAGGTGTAGCTGGCACAGTCGATGCATAGCGGAGCAATATGGTGTACAAGAATGTCGGCAGGTCAATCTGCTTCCCTTTCGTTCTCTTCCTTTGGACCTCCTTCGATCATCAGTAAATATCTTCTGTAATCGTTCGACGCGTATTTCCGTCCTCGCCACACAATATAAGTCTGGATTTGGGGCGTGGAGGATCAGAGCGCAGCTAAGTTATGGGCGTTACTTCGGCTCTGCTGCTATCAGGACTTCTAATGATTGCCTTTAGCGTTTCTTTGATTTTACAATGAAGTTGGTGCGTCGAGTAAGTATCAGGTGAGCCCGAAGTGAAACTGGGTTGTAGAAACTGGGGCGGGCAAAAGTTACGGGAATGCTGCAGCTGGAGATACGCAGGAGGGCCAGTCGGGATGTGCAGCCTTTGTAAGTACCTGAAGGTTGGCAATTCCTACATTATGCTCCCTGTCAGAACAAATCATTTCTATTGAGTCTAGATTGTGTGTCTTGTCCCGTCTGTTTCGCCACCCACTGAATCTAGATAATTATCCTTGGCTCGTGATGATTTTATGATATGATGATACTAACGCTTGAAAGTAGCTGTTTAACCGTCATGGTGAGTAGAAACATATTTTCGTGCGAGCGAGCGGTCAAGGGACCCAATCCGACTGTGTCTTTCCCAGGGGCAATTTCTGGTAGTTCCAAGACGTGTAGTGTGTAGCTGCCTTGGATATTCACGACATGAACATGCTTGCTAGTTTAGGCTAAATGTCTCAATCCCCGCATTGATATTTTGCCGAGTCCACAAACCCCAGGCGACCCACCTTGAGGGCGGGGAGTAAGTAATAAAGGGCTCGGAAAATAGCTAGGTATGCAAGGAACCATCACTTCTCCTTGATCAGAGCAAGACAAAGTACCATCTATTCTCCTCAGTTAGTCAGAACATCCATGCGAAACGCAAACGAAAGCTAGGTTTATTCATTTATCAATCACTTTTATTTCAACCGGCAGGCAGGCATATCATACCCCTCGTTTGCTTCCCCTTTAGGATAGGATGCTGATGCCCTAGTCGTAAGGATACATATGACTCGTTTGATTTCATCTTATCCGTCATTACATTATATTTTTTCCATTCATTCTCTTATATTTGATAACCTCATAAGACTTTTTCCCTATCTCTCTTTCTTGTTCTTGTTTATTTCCTCGGATGGATGCCCTTGGCTTCATTCAAATTTTTAAGTAATTGATTGAACCGCTTGTGATGATGAAGCCTCTCATCTCATTCACTCTCGCGCTCGCGCTCTCGCTCTCACCGATCCTTTCCTCGGTTCTTGCACTTGGGCAAAAGGCTACGGTTACTACGATCAGACCTGTGGATGGGGATGGGGATGAGCTGCTTGAATTGGCGGGCACGGGACCGGATGGGCAGATTCTACTCAGTGCTGAGGATTGGTGGGGCGTTATTCGCGCGGCGGAGGATCTGGCGGGGGATTTTGGGAAGGTTACGGGGAGGAATTTGACGTTGACGAATTGGAGTGCTATAGATACAAATACCACGAATAGCAATGGCACAAGAACTGCAAGGGGAATTGGAAAGAGTGCACGTTTGGGGTTGCAGAGTAACGAGACGTATACAAATGGGAACGGGAGCTCGACCGCGGCCTATTACACATATAACCCCGTAACGAGTTTCGTCAATGTAAGTTATGTTTCTGTTTTGTTTCCAGCCGACCCAAAGTTACCTGATGAAATGGAGCAGATTTTGAGGGGGAGAAATAGTACACAACCGGCCCAGCAGCCTCCTTCACCGGCCCAACTCTCTCCAATACCCCCCCTTCGCACCCCGTCATCATAACCGGCACGCTACACAAATCCCCACTCATCGCCTCCCTCATCAAATCGCACAAGCTAGACATCTCGTCCATCTCTGGGCGCTGGGAGTCCTTTATCAGCGAAGTGATCACCGATCCCCTGCCCGGATCGGGGATCGATCGCGCGCTTGTGGTTGTGGGGAGTGATATGCGGGGGACGGTGTATGGGCTTTATGATATCAGTGAGCAGATTGGTGTGAGTCCGTGGTGGTGGTGGGGGGATGTGCCGGTGAGGAAGAGGGATGGGGTTTGGGCGTTGGAAGGGAAGAAGGTGCAGGGGGAGCCGAGTGTGAGGTATAGGGGGGTTTTCATTAATGATGAACAGCCGGCGCTGACGAATTGGATTAAGTATTTGCTATTCTCGCTTCTTTGCTTTGCTTTGTTTGGTTTTTGACGGGGTATAGGAGGGAAAGCTGATGAAAAGATTGATAGTTCGAATTACCAACCTGGAAAATACGGACCGGGCTATAACCATTACTTCTACCCGCGTGTCTTTGAGCTCCTGCTCCGATTAAGAGCTAATTATTTCTGGCCTGCCATGTGGGGGAGTATGTTTGGGGTGGACGATACTGCGAACCAGCCGCTTGCCGACGCGTACGGGATTGTGATGGGCTCAAGCCATACCGGTGTGTTGCGCTATTTCATCCCTCACCTTCTTCAACTGCTTGTCTTGTCCAGCGTTGTTAATAGGAAGGTACTCGTACTGACTGTAAAGAGCCAATGATGCGCGCCACAAACGAATGGACTACTTTCGGCAAGGAGTATGGAGGGAATGGCCAGTGGGAATACGACACCAACAATGCCTCTCTGGCCGCCTTCTTCACCTATGGCGCGCAGCGCGCTAAACCATACGTCCCGAACTCGCTGTTCACCATGGCGATGCGCGGGTCTGGGGATACGGCCATCACGCTTACTCAAGCGCAGGCTATTGCGGTGCTGCAGGACGTGGTGGCAAAGCAGAGGGAGGTTTTGGGGGAGGTTTTTAATGGAACAAAGATTGAGGAGATTCCGCAGATGTGGTGTCTTTATAAGGAGGTGCAGGGGTATTATGAGAATGGGCTAAGTGTTCCTGATGATGTTACGCTGTTGTGGGCGGATGATAATTGGGGGAATATTCGGAGGCTGCCAACTGCGAGCGAGACGAATAGATCGGGTGGCGCTGGTGAGTCTATTTCTTGGTAAGAGAGAGATACTAGCTGACAAGTACACTGCGGATAGGGGTATATTACCATTTCGATTACGTGGGTGATCCGAGGGATTACAAGTGGATTAACACGATCCAGCTTCAGAAAACAGTTGAGCAGGTAAGTAAGGAAGCATTCTCCAAAGCCAATGCACCCCTAACAAACGTCCCTTAGATGCAATTAGCATACGCGCGCCAAGCAGACCGCATCTGGATTCTCAACGTAGGTGATTTGAAAACCCTCGAGATCCCCATTAACCATTTCATGGACCTCGCATACGACACTCCCGCCTGGGGCTACAACAGCGTTGCCTGCTGGCTCAGCTTATGGGCAGAGCGTGAGTTTGGCCCCGAGCACAGCGCCGCTATCTCATCCGTCGTCGATCGTTACGGCATGTACGCCGCGCGCCGGAAATACGAACTCCTCGATGCGAGTACGTATAGTATTGTCAACTATAACGAAGCAGACGCTGTTCTCGCTCAATGGCATGAGCTTGCCGTTGATGCGCAGGAGGTGTATGATAGGCTGGAGGATGCGTGGAAGCCGGCGTACTATGAGATGGTGCTTCAGCCGGTGCTGGGAGGGCAAGTTGTGAATCAGATATATATTAATGCGGGCAAGAATCGGCTGTATACGGCCCAGAAGAGGAATACAGCGAATCAGGTGGCTGAGGATGTGCTGGGGTATTTCAAGCAGGATCATGTGCTTACCCAGCGGTATCATGACTTGCTTGATGGGAAGTGGAATCATATGCTTGATCGTAAGTTCGCCCCTATATTAGGACTAAGAAGCGAGCTGACTGGATTCGTTCGGTTAGAAACGCATTTAGGATATGATCTTTCCTACCACAGCCAAAACTACGACGGATACTGGCAGCAACCAATGCGAAATACCATCCCCGCACTATCCTACGTCCAACAGCTAGAAACCTCACTCGCTGGTAATATCGGAATAGCGGTCGAGGGCTCTAACGCCACAGTTCCCGGCGACGATGCCTGGCACGCCAATTCCGGCAGCACGCTCGTCCTACCGCCCATGTCACCCTACGGCCCCCGAACCCGCTGGATCGATGTATTCGCCCGCGGCACTCAAGGCTGCCAATGGTCCATCTCACCCTCGCAACCGTACGTACTCGCTACCCCGAACGCAGGAGGAACCGGTGGTCTCAATGGCACCGATACGCGCGTATATATGTCTATTGACTGGTCGAAAGCACCTCCTGCACCAAGTACGACCATTGTAAACGTAGGGATAAATTTGACCTCTTCCTGCACCTGGGGCAACTATCCCGCGCCCACAATCCAAGTACCTATCTATAACCCCACCATCCCAGCCTCCATCACCAGGGGTAGCTTCCTTGAATCCGATACGCACATCTCCATAGAAGTCGAGCACACAACCACCAACACCAACACCACTACCAACACATCCTACACAACCCTCCCATCATACGGCCGCACTCTATCCGGCGTCACCCTAACCGACCCCCTCGCACCCCCACAGCCACCTCCCATAGGCCCCTTCCTCTCCTACGCACTCTACAGCTTCACGCCCTCTCCCTCGGCGTCCGTGACCCTATTCCTATCCCCCTGTGGCAATATAAACGGTCCCGACTTCCCCATGTCATACGGCGTAGCCTTCGATTCCGAAACACCTCAAGTGCGCCAATTCATACACAACGTTGCTTCTACTTCCGGTTCGACTTCTACTGCAGCATATCCGCTCGGCTGGTACCAAGCCGTCGCAGACGGCATATGGGGCGCTAGGGGGAACACCACGACAACAGTACATGATTTAAGCGTACCGGGAAGACATACGTTGAAGGTTTGGCTGGTGCAGCCGGGGGTTGTGCTGCAGAAGATCGTGGTTGATTTCGGGGGAGGTGTGAGGGAGAGTTATTTGGGGCCGCCGGAGAGTTTTAGAGCGGGTGTTGATGTAGTCGGGGGGTATGATGGGGGGAATTTTGCGGGGGTGGATGTGCTTGATGTTTTGTGAGTGATTAAGTGGGTTGTGGGCGTTTATACGCTGAAACATAGGTATCTGATCATGTCTGTATATATACGATGGGGCTGGCAGATAGGTATTCTCGTGTTGTATCCGTAGCCACCGGAGAGGCTATCCTAGGATTCTCAGACATGGGGACTTGTATGTAGACAGTTGCCCACGGAGCGTATTGTTGATTCAACTGGGTAGAGGAAAGGCAGTCCAAACCGAAATCCTGGGATGCGAAAATGATGAATCAAGCAGTTTGGTCCAGCTTTGTTTATACTAAGCCATTGAGCTAGTGTTGAAACAGCCCACGTGACACCACGATGTGTCCATTTTTTTTTTTCAGGTTGTACGTTGCAACCTAGACATGAATCGAGCATAAGAGCCACTAATCGTGGGTGCATTCCTGACTTCTTGGTATGAATGGGGCATGGATCTGCAAGTTGGGTATAGTACAGCAATAAGTGCGACGCCTCCCTCCCCTCCTTAGAAAGTCAGGTGGACTGATGATTACTCGAAAGATTATTGTTTATCAATGCCAAGAGTAAAATCAAAGTATATGAACACCAGATAAATTCTAGAGAAGTGCTTGAATTGGGAGGCAGGAGAATTGGACCTTACTAAATGTAGGAAGCGCCAAAGGATATGAGTTCTACAGACTGGCAAAGCTATAGCAAAGCTGTATGACTCCCAACTAATGAATAGAGAAACCAACAGATCCTAGAGTCCTCTAGAACCAACATATACCTATTGACATCCATTCACCGTCTATGAACCGTACCTTAAAGCTTGAAATGTTCGAGTGGTATATCAGGCAGTCCCGCTTTTCTCCCGCCCCTTCAACAAATGAGCTCACCTGCCCTGACCTAAACACTCTCCAGGCTTATAAAACCCGTGAGCTAAGCTTAAGCCAATTCAGCAAGTCATAAAGGGCATGCGATTAGCTAACGAGGAAAAACACGCACTTCAGTTGAATGGAAACTCTAGTCACGTGTGCCTCCCACCACAACATATACTCCTTTCCCCTCAACTCAACTCAGAACGATCAACACAATACCAGCTCGGCACGGATAAATTCTTATGCTGGAAAGCTTCACCAAAATCTTGCTTTGAAATCCAGCCTCGTCCGATATCGTAACAGCGGTGCTTCCGCATACCCCATTCCGCACATTTCCGCACACTTGTGAGTAAGCCTTTGCCAGGATTGAAAAGTTTGTCGAGGACCGAGGGGATGTTGGATTCCGATGCCGGATGATACATGAAGGAATAAAGGATGGCGCTTGAGAGGAGAAGGAGAAGGGTTGGTTGTATATATAAGATGAGGCCCAGCCCAGCGTATGGACTTTGAAGCTGTACTGAGTAATCGTAACTTGTACGTCATATGATATAATATATATCTTCTCAAAACCTATCTGAGATTAATCATTAACTCCCCCGACATGGTGTATCGAGAGCTATCCCACCGCAAGAAAGCAGAGCAGGCTGCGCGTATCCCGGAGGCCTGGAAGGTTGACACTAGGTACTTGTTCGAGGGCAGAGAGAAAAGTATCATTAAACAATTGACGCCCGAGAACGCGCCGAGTTTCTGGAGTGGGGTATTGAGCGAGAAAGAAATTGGGATAACGACGGGGAATGATGCGGTTGATATCGTGGATGGGATTAGGGAAGGAAAGTGGAGTGCAGAGGAAGTCACTACGGCGTTCTGTAAGAGAGCTGCGCTTGCGCATCAATTAGTGAGTAGAAATTCTTGCGGAATTCGAGTTAAGTGCTGATGAAATAGACAAACTGCCTCACGGAAATCTTCTTCGAAGAAGCTATTCAGCAAGCGAGAACCCTCGATCAAGCTCGGAATACACACCCTGAGACGCCTCTCGGTCCACTTCATGGACTGCCTATTTCGCTCAAAGATACATACCATGTTCCTGGTGTTGATGCAACAATTGGACTTGCTTGCTTTGCGTTCCAGCCTTCGACATCGTATTCTCCACTCGCTGAGCTTTTGGTCTCTCTAGGTGCTGTCTTGTATTGCAAGACAAACATTCCCCAGACACTCATGACCGCTGACTCGGAGAATAATCTGTTTGGACGTACCATTAATCCGCATAACCGGTACCTCACTGCTGGCGGCTCGACTGGAGGAGAAGGACCCTTGATCGCACTCGGTGGGAGTGTTCTGGGATTTGGCACTGATATTGCTGGTAGTTTGCGGATTCCGGCGTTATGTAACGGCGTTTATGGATTTAAACCGAGTTCTGGTATAATGCCATTTAGTGGTCAGAGATTGCCGTTCGCGCCTGGGTGGGAAGGTATTGGGATTGTTGCAAGTGCGGGACCGATGGCCAGTTCTGTTCGAGCGTGCAGCTTTGCGCTCAAGGCTATTTTGAAGTCTGTTCCGTCAGACGTGGACCCGATGTGTTTGCGGATTCCGTGGTACGAAAGTGCAGAACTGGCAAGGTTGAAGAATCCGAAGAGCTTGAGGATTGGAGTCGTGGGTGATGACGGGCTGTTTACGATAACGCCGCCGGTAAGACGTGCGATGAAAGAGGCCGAGAAGAAGTTAAAGCTTGCGGGTGTGACAACTGTCCATGTAAAGCTGCCCCTGATGTTAGAGTTATTGGGAGTGATTGGGGAAATGTTAGCTGTAAACGGCACTGAGGTTTGCGGTCGTCCCTTGCTTCTTATGAAACGCAGCTTCTGACTTCCTCCAGTATCTCATGGACCTCATTCATTCGACCGGGGAACCCCTTATTCCGTCAGTCGAGAAGCTCGGCTTACTTGCAGGATCGCCGAAAACGATGGGTGAGTATTTTGAACTGAACAGAAAACGACAGGACATCGCGCTAGTGTACAGTAAATTCTGGATTGACAACAACCTTGATGCATTGATCATGCCACCGGCTCCCCACACAGCAGTACCGGAGAACGCATGGGCAGTTCCCAGTTATACGGCAATCTGGAATCTGCTTGATTATCCAAGTATTGTGCTTCCAACTGGGGCTGTGAATGAGATGGATATCCTGGAGGGAACTGAGGATTTTTATAGCGAAAATGATAAGGAGGTCTATAAACTTTGTATGATGGTCTTTGAAACTTAGGCTAGAACTTGCTAACATATCTTTGTACCAGATGATGGTGGGCCAAGTGCTTATGAACACGCTCCGATTGCTATTCAGCTTGTTAGTAAGAAGCAGGATGATCAGGCCTTGACTGTCATTGCTGGAGTAGTAGATAGACTTTTGGCTTAGGGATGTTGAAATGCGCTCCTACCAATGCAATTGAAAGAAGAGGTTTACTGAATGCGGGGCATTACAAGTAGAACATGCAAGAAAAAGGGGCTAGCTTAAAAATAGAACATGTCATGTGACATCATCGCGTCCACTTGAATCGATTCGCGACCAGGAAGATGCAACGTTTATTTTCCTGCAATCATTCGCGCGCTCAAATGCAGCAGATGCAATTGTCTATATGTTCTTCGTTTCTGTAATTCGTTATGCACTGGTCCTCCTAGTACCATTGTCCCTAATCCTCTCCTCCTATCTCTACCTCTATCCCGTCTTCCACCTCTGCGCATTTCCTGCCCCTGAGGAAGATGCAAATACGGCGTACACCAATACGCTGCGGCAGCATCTCCCCTTCTCAACCCACGATGCGACAAAGGTAGCACCTTTTAGGTTGCTTGCACTGGGTGATCCGCAGCTCGAGGGCACGTCTCCTCTTGATGACCCTGAAGCTGCTGCCTTTCCGAATCTTGCAAAGTTCTGGAAAGATGCCCTGCTCCTCGATGGCACGAACCATAACCCTCTGCAGAGACTACGGTATAGCCTGCACGACTTAGTCGACTTCTACCTCGACGATATACCGAACATCCTCGAAGTTTACCGCAAAAAGTTGGACCATGTCGGCAATGATTATTATCTCGGGCATATATATCGGACAATGCATTGGTGGACCGACCCTTCACACATCACGGTCCTGGGTGATCTGGTTGGGAGTCAATGGATTGAGGACGACGAGTTTGAAAAGCGGGGCTGGAGGTTTTGGAACCGTGTTTTCAAAGGCGGAGAGCGGATCTATGATGAGGTTGCTTCTGCGCCGTCGGAGGATTTTCAAGACAACAGAATACTCGGCGAGTATCCTGCGGCTTGGAAGCAGATTATCCTGAATGTGCCTGGAAATCATGATATTGGGTACGCGGGAGATATTTCCCCAGAACGAGTGGAGCGTTTCGATCGTGTATTTGGGAAGCCAAACTACGAGTTGCGTTTTCACCTCCCTGTGAATGGTACTTCTATAGAGGGGAATTCCACGGGAAATGGGGAGGATGAGCCGGCACCAGAAGAGAAGCCAGTTCCCGAGCTGCGAATTATTATCTTCAATGACATGAATCTCGACACTCCTGCTTCCTCGAAAGAAATGCAGGACCAGTCGTACGGGTTCCTCAATGATGTTATAACCAGTTCGCACGATGTCGATCGCCAGGCACTCTTCACGATTGTCCTCACTCATATCCCTATGCACAAAGAAGCGGGCATTTGCGTTGATGGACCGTTCTTCGATTTCTACGACGGGTATTTCGACAACGGGGTCAAGGAACAAAACCACCTATCACAAAGCGCTTCAAAGGGGTTCCTGGAGGGGGTATTCGGTATGAGCGGTGACCCGGGAGCACCTGGTAGTGGATTCGGGCGGAATGGGGTTATTCTTACGGGGCACGATCATGAGGGATGCGACACCTATCATTATATCAACCAATCCGACCCACCGGAACGGGAATGGCACGCGATGAAATGGAAAGATGCCGTGGATCTAGGCGTCGATGAGCAGCCTGGTGTGCCTGGGCTGCGAGAGATTACCGTTCGAAGCATGATGGGGGATTTTACAGGGAATGCGGGATTAATGAGTTTGTGGTTTGATGAAGAGGAATGGGATTGGAAATTCAAATTCGTGAACTGCGAGATGGGAACTCAGCATATATGGTGGATAGTACATATTGTGGATCTCATCACACTTGGTGTGGGCCTTGTATATGGGATTTTGGTTGCGGTGGAGAAGCTCACGTTTCGAAAGGGAGAGGGTTCGAAGAAGAATCACATGAGCAACGGCAAAATACCCACTTCAAACGGGGCAGCGAAAGTGGGCAATGGAAAGATTGGCGCATACTTGGCTGAATACTCGCAGACGACGAATGGGAAGCTAGATGTCCCTGGCGCGGGGAAGAAAAGCTTGCGGAAGAAGAAGAGCAAGCGGAATCTTTGATGAGGGGACGCTGACGCTGGAGATGATTGTACGATACGTACGATACCCATAATACATGTAAATTAACGATATCATTTCAACGACGGACTTATCATTCGGACGTACCTAGTTGCATGTTGTGTCTAAGTGACCTGTCTCTGACCAAGTGGCATGCATAGCATGGCAGCATGGCAACAGTCGCAAAATGCCACAGCTTTACCCGTCCTCTCTTGAACATCTACCCCGTATACAGCATCGGGCAGCCATCGGAAAGAGCCCTGCGGTTCCTTCCTTCGTTGAGAGTGAGGCTGCAAGCAAGGCAGAGCAGAGCAGGTGCAGGCTATGTTGTTGCCTGGAAGGTGAAAGGGATTCCGTGCAGTGAGTGAGGCTTTGTTCGGAATGATAGACCCTAAGGTATGGACGAGTAAGACAAAGCCATGCTCCGTACTTCGTAAAAGCCTCGAGACATCTTAAACCTGTTGCGGGAGGTGGCACATACCTAGCCTCCACCATGTGAGACGGCACAGTAGGAGCTTGCACGTGATGTGACTACTGTCCTTCTTTGGTGGGGGGTGGATGGATAGATCGACGGCGGAGCCATGGAGGCTGAGGGAATTGCTCCACCAGCTCGGGAAATACAGTACTTAATGAGTGAGTGAGAAGTGCCAAGTGCCAAGATGCGATAAGTGAGTAGAAGGCTTGGAGAAAGCTTATTGGTACACAAGCATCGTCATCATGCAGATGAGAGTGATGATCTGACAGGGAAGCCACGGTACTAGCTGCATACGAGCCCCACCATAGCCTTCCATTGCTTCCATCGCCCTTCTAGCGCCCATCAAGGCTCCACACAGGGCTCAGCCCCAATCAGACCATGTCATAAGCTGGACTGTGCCCGCCGATCTGGGGTATCCGGACCGTATATATTACCTTAGCTTCCCTACTGTACCTACCTCTCCACATGACAGATACCTAAGTACCTAAACCACGTTCATGCTTGCTTTGCTTCAATGCAATTCAACCATTGATTCATTACACTACGACTCACGAAGATACAAATATATACAATACACCATAAACAATACTACCCCAAATACCCCGCTTTGAATGTCCTCCCTAGATTGAACCACCACACTATATATACCTTCAACATGGCCATCCTCGAGAAGCTATCGCTCAGAAGCGACAAGCACCACTCTGAAAAGGGAAACGATGCTCCTCCCGCATTCGAGAATGCTCCTACAGCGACTGAACACCCGCCTTCCTATGCAGCAAACGACCCCGCCACCGACCCTTCACCCGAAGAGCTGAACCGCGCCTTCAGCAACCTTCAACTCCCCGAGTCCCCCAGCTACTTCCCAGAACCCGAGCACTGCCTCGCGCATCTCAAGCTGCTATCTGTATTCCACGCCTTGAAGGAAGACGTCGGGTATACAGATGGCCTGTTCGGTTTGTGGAATTCGGTCACGGAGAGAGCAGAAGATAAAGAAGAAGCGCTGGCGAGGCTGCGGGAAAAGCGATGGGCTCTGTATATTGCGAGGGCTGTGGAGCGGTTTGAGGTCTGGTGGCTTGAAGTGCTTTGCTCTTTGGAGCCTGCGCAGAGACTTGAGGGCAAGGAGATGGTGTCGAATCACCCGAAATTTATAGACTTCCCGAAAAAGGGCACTGTGCAGCAGTGGACCGCTGGAATGTTGCCTCCTATTGGTAGGTATTTCATTTTTGTGATACAACTGTTGACTAATGCAAATCAGATGTCCTTATGGTATGGCATTCGTTCATGCTGAATCCTCGCAACTATCTCGAGGACTGCATTCGGTTCGGCTTGCAGAATCTGTGGGCTACAGGCATGCCATGGTATGTTATCAATGGGGCTGTCGATACTAGCTTCAACTACAATGTTACCGCTGAGGCGAAAGCTTCTTTTGTCGACAAGACGGGTCGCAATTGGGATAATGCGGAAGATGCTCTCACCAAAGCTCTGAATTGTCCTCGATGTTCCCAGATGCTAGAAATTCCTTGGACAACGTGTTCAAATGAGAAGCAATCACGAGAAGAGTAAGAATTGCTTGAAATACGTCGTAATATTAGCTGACATGAATAGTTTGGATGAAATGTCCGGTACCGGATATGGCGACAGAAATTTCTCATACATCTGCCACAAATGCGGAGGAGAGATTGATCATGATCTCCTCCGCGTGGCCAAGTTTAAGAAGGAGACGGAAAATCTAATTCTGAAAGATTGGCCTCTTGGAGGTACTATCCTGTCACCATCACTGGGAATACCGGATGCTCCTCCCGCGCACAACCTTTCTCAGACGCGTGGGACCTTCCCCAATAGGCTTGTTGGTATGGAGCTTAGAAGTAAGATCCTTGAATTGCTCGACGACACAGTTAACACCCACCCTACAATGAATGATGTCAAGCAGCTCATTGAGGAAAGCATCAAGAAGAAAGAAGTTGTCAAGAGAGTTAATGCAAAAGGAGCTTTTGACAGCGGTGTTTTGAAGAGGGATGAGCGTCTGGCAATCCGAAAGATGATGTCTCGATATTGGGATAACCCTTCCATCTTTGCTCTTGAACTAGGAGGAGCTGTGATCCGTCAAGGCGTTTTCGTCGAGAAGATGTACAATCTAGACTGGCTTCACAGCCCGGCTGCCCGAACCACGATGACACGCCTCCTTACGAAATACGGTCGATTCATCCATATCATGTCAGTGGAACCTAAACACACATGTGTCCCAACACTAGACGTCGACCTAGGTTGGCACACGCACCAACTCTCACCTTCCGCGTACTACGAGTACACGATGAAGCACTGCAAGAAGTTCATCGACCACGACGACAAGATCGCCGAAGACGCGCTCGAAACAGCCTTCGAATGGACGTCCCGAACCTACGAAAAGATCTTCCAACAAGTCTACTCGGAATGCACATGCTGGTACTGCGAGGCCCTGCACTCAAAACACATCTCCGACTCCACCAAGATCTTCGGAACCTCCAAGCACGAGCGTGCCCTCGACAATTTCTACAACTCGGGCGCCGCCAAACTCTGCCCACCGTCAAACTCTGCGCATATCTCTGCGCACTCTGCTGTCAGAGTCGAGGAGAACGACCGCCTTAAAGCAGCTGTCACAGAGGGCTTGCGCAGGAGACGCCAAGCTACGCTCGATGGCGCGTATGAGAAAGCACGCAAGCGCGCTAGGGCCAAGGGCCGCGATATCCCGCCGAGAGATGAGTATTATTACGGCGCGTGGGGATATCCGTATATGATGTACGGGCCGTACATGAGCATGGGCATGATGGGCGGCGGGATGTATTATGCGGGGGATCCGTGCGTTATGCCGGTTGGTGCTGGGATGGTGGGGGCTTGCGCGGCGGGGACTTGTGGTGGTGGTGTTGCTGCTGGGG